GAATATACTTGACTAACAACAATGAAATCATCTTGTTTAGCAGTCAAAATATATGGCCTTCAGGCATTCTCCTCCAACTAGCACTACAGCTATTAGCAACATTCTTTGGCTCAGGCAAAGTTGGTAATATTTTGTCAAAACAGATGTGTTGAGTCATGTCTGAAGTATGACACTTTGCAAAACTCTAAACGTGGAGAGCTGCTGTCAGTTTAAAGTGGATCCAGGTGATGCTGTTTCCTTCAAACTGTCCAGCTGAACAGGCCATACATGCTGTTATCAGCGCGACACCGCTGTTGATTCAAAATGAAGACATATTATGAACCTCATACAGCAGAGCCAGCTGGCTGTGATTCAGGTTTTTATCACCTCTGGGAATTGACAGAGTACGTCTGTTGTCCAGAAATAGCAGGGAAATGTGCTCTGATTGGCCGAATATAGGGAGAAAATGGCCCGGCTTTCGCTGTGCGTACTCCAGCACTGACTAATGAAGGCCTTGACATTATGGAGTCAGAATGAGTGGAGGCAGCGCTAATGTTAGCTCACCTATCCCTGTGGGCTGCAACAGCAGCCTCCTCATGCTACTGCAAGTGTAGTGTCCTACAGAAAGAGGAGCTGCGAATCATCTCTTCTTCACTACACTTAAATTCTCGGTTCATACTATGATATTTCAGTGACGTATTGAAGACAGTGGTGAAATACGTCATTAGCAGGGTAAGCAGCATGTATAGCGATATAATGGCGTGTCCATATTTGACTGAAGTATCAGTCTCAGGAGAACCGTAAAGGACTGTTCTTTCATAACTTGCCATTGTGTCATACTCCTTAGTAAGGAGGGCAGTTGCTGGATCTTGTTTGCTTTGCTGTTTGCATTGCTTTATCAAGAGGTTAACACTGTATTAAGCATCTTAAGTCCTACTCAGATGGGGAGGTGGGGTAATGTAAGTATTACCAGTTTTTCTCAGTGATTTTAGTCCTAATAAATCAAATATTACATGAATTTATATATATATATATATATACATATGCGGACGTGAACGATTCTGAATCGATTAACAAATGTCAAAAATCGATTTTCTAAATATTTAATTTATACCGTAATGTTGACGGAACGCAAAAGGCGGAACTTGGAAGTGTGGAAGTGCAGCGCCCGGACAGTCTGTGGCGGCACATAACAGAAACACAACTGAATGAGTGAGAAATCCGACCGGCTCCCTCTGCATTAAAGCCAGGTTAGGTCAGGAGTCACAACACAAATGACAAGAAGAGCCATTTTGTCCTTTCAACAAAAATCAAACCGGCTTGGGAGCCACAACATTTAATGTCCAGTATGTCTCAGTGTGTGATAATGTCCTAGTATAGACTAAACAATATAAACGAGAGCGCAGATTTACTTCGCTCTGCTTTAAGCTTTAGCCGCTTTCCTCCCATCTCCGCCAGAAAACTTTTATTCAAAAGTAGAGCAACGTATTGTAAAATGTCTCAGCGTTCGACTGTTTTACGAGGCTGAAGTCGCTACTTATTCTCCAGCTTCTTGTTCGAATTTACCCGTTCCACCTTAAATTCTGACTGAGCCGCCGAATGTAAATGCGACACCATTTAAGGTGGAACGGGAGAATTCGAAAGAGAAGCGAGTTCATCTTAGTAACTGTTTAGTGCTTCACAGTCTCTCGTTGCAGATTTAACGTACCAGGAAACTTGCTTATGAATGCGAATAATGCATCGTTGCTATGTGACCTGCAGTCATTGTGAAACAGGGTTTTCGCGCTATGTATGTCTCGAAGATACTTTACTGACACAGTGATCCCCCCCGTCTCTACAATGAGACCAAAACCCAAGTTATAAAATCACTAAAGAAAACGGGTAGGACGGCTGTAATGTGCTGCGTGGACATCCACTGACACTGGATCTGTTGTCACCGTAACTGCGCATTTTATCGCAGATGAGTGGCAGCAGCGTCTCATGTGCTCCAAACAAGAGCAGTGAATGAGAGCCTTCTAGTTCACTTGCCACATCACTTCCATTTGATTTATTAATAAGAGATATTGGAAGTAAATTCATTATGGATCATTACAAATACTTTGCTTTAAAAGTACCAAGTCACTTTAAATAACAATAACAGTCACTTAGTCACTTTAAAATGTATATTGTCTCTACATTCTGTATATATTCTGTGTGTATTTTGTGTATATTTAATATACGTCAGTTGGTTTTTCTTGTATTTTTATTTCTACTTATTTACTTTCTGTAGAGTGATTAGCTGAGCCTCACCACGTGCATTTCAATGCATAAATGTCCTGACATGTAAATGACAAATAAACTTGAAACTTGAACTCGAAACTTGAGCTCACACAGTGAGTAAATAGAAATGCTGTATAGAAAAAAAAGATGCATCGAGATGCATCGATAATCGTTTTATAATCGCATCGCAGCCCTCTGAATCGTAATCGAATCATTTTGACAAAATACACTGGCCATTTAGTGGACTTTGTAGGGTTATTCCAAGGACATACTGTGTATAATGTTCAACAGCAATATAAACTACTTTCCACTTAGAGAAAAAACACAAATTTTGTTCCCTTGGGGCTTTAAGACAACTCAGTGGATAATTAGTGTCAAAGAAAATTACAACTAAATTAAAAGTTTAATTTATAATAAAAGGGCAAGTTTTAGTGTGATGCCAGTGTGTAAATCGCATATCCTAATCTCTGTAATTTATAAGGAGATTTTTTATTTTGTGCAAATCTGATAGGGTGTGGGCACAAGGAACATGTCCCTCTAATATTTACATAAATTGACTATGATACCTCATCCCTGCTTCCATTTGAATTTATTTCTAGAGAGTAAAAAATATTGCAAGTTGCAAGTGCATTTGACCACAACAATGTCCAAATTTGGAATTAACATTTAATATAACAACATGATTGCAGTCCATGAATCTTGGGTGTTTGACGTTTCAAGAACACCCCAGCCTTTGCCAACTATCAGCAGACATAATCCTGGGAAGAATGCACATGAAACAAGGACATGTCTCTTAAGGAAAGAAACCAGTGGACATTAGGGATTTTCTGAGTAAAAAAAATGGTAAGCTATAAAATGATGCCATTTGCCTTTTGTTTAGTCTCACTGGACATAACTTTGGATGTAGTGAGCACTGGGGATATTTTACACAATTCAGTTGCATTTTAATATAATGCAGGAGACCCTTGTGTAGCAATTTGAGTTTTTCTAACAGTTTATCTTACATGTTTAGTATGCTTTAAATTAAGAGCTCAAATTAAATTAAAGCACAAATTTAATACCAATAATCACTAATAATTACACCACAAACAACAGTATCATTAGGATTGTATAAACAGCAGTAGGGAACCCTCAGGGCCGCCCAGGCCTTCAGAAGAGTTCTAATGATTTCTGTGAAAAAAATCTGTACTTTTTAACGATTTTTTATCGAATGTAATCATCATGCGTGATGTATTTAAACTCTTCAAGTATTGCAGTAATTATCTTATTTGATTGTTAATTTTTGGTTGGAAACGAAAGGGTTAAATTCTTGAAACACCCAACAGAAAATTATCCAATTGCATTTTTTTCCGCATTCAGGAACTGACAGTGGAATTCATGTTTTGATTTCCAATGAATGGGACCAGTTTTACAAGGAAAAAAAAAAATACTCTAGCTCTTTTGAAAGTCCTGCATATGTCACTGATTGTGAGTGGCAGTCTGAACCCAGGCGTTTCAGTCAGATGTTATAAATGGAAAATAGCAGCAGCTCTGCCGGGGCTTTGAAAGAGTCACTGGGAAACTGCTACCGGGTCAAATGTATGTTAACATATCTGTTACAAACTTCAAATAAAACATTTAATGTCTTTTACAAGCTTCAACCGGACACATTTAATACATTTTAATAAATGGTGGAGAAATGTTCACATTAATATCCCCATTAGCTTAGAGCTAACATAAAATCCCAAGGGTGCTATCAGAAATTAACATTATCCTAGAGGTGTTTTTCCTCATTTTTGACCTCAGTTTTGACCTGTATGGCCTGAACTAAAGACCAAACTCTAATAGCCATGTTCCGCCACTGATTATCAGCAACCATTTCTGTCACCATTAATAGAAAAGCTGATATTCTTCGTTCCCAGCTATGCTTGCCCTGCACTCTTTTTATTTTGTTGTTGGTGATTTCTGCCCTACCCCTTCAATATCCACCTCCTTCCTACAGCCTTGAGTACACACATTTATTTACACTACAGAGAACATATTGCAGATGTGCTGAATGACACCAGTAGTGGTGCTGAGTGTGTGTCACAAACTCTCATGTTTGTATTACACACCATAAATCTGCCATAGTGTGAAGATGACCTAAGATATGTAGTTATAGGCAGAGGCATGCTGAGTCTCAAGAATCTAATTTGGATTCTGAGCTTTGAGTGTGAGAGCTTAGTGTGGGAAACTGCATGTGTGTGGGAAGAGGATACAAAGGCAGTCCATGTTTCTGTGATGTAGTATGATTGTGACGACTGAGCTGGCTTCTCTGAGCAGCATCTGAGTGTAAACGCGATGACTGAGCCCCTTAAACCCTGAGGGTCTATATTCAGGCCCACACTTCAATTCCTTACGCTCATAATTACATAACTTACAAAATTTCATAATAGTCACTGAATAATTTGAAGTAGCTGCTGAATAAGTTTCCAGATAAGAGAATAATACACCTACACTGTTAGAAAAAAGGGGACTGCACAGGTACATTGTTTCCCCCCAAGGAATAAACAATATAAATGTACCCTCAAAGAAACAGCATGGTCTTTATGGTCCAATTGTGTACCTTAAATGAGTCTAAAGGTAAACTACATTCACTTTGATGCATATTTGTACCTTTTCATCTAAAAAAGTTCAGCAGAAAAAAAATTAAAAGCTTGGAGTCAAGACAGGGCTTAATAATTCTGTGTGTGTGGTTCAAGGGGGTAGAAACAGCAAGTATGTGTGCAGAGAGATGCACTCACCATGTGTATTAATATGTGTTGTCCTGTGGGGTTGATGGCCAGGGCTTCATCATATAGACTTTTGGCCTCGGCATCGTTGCCTCTGAGCTCAGCCAGCTGGCCCTTCAGGAGCAGAACTGAGTGGGAGGTGGGAAAGAGCGCTGCTGCCTCCTGAACACAGAACTGTGCCTCCTTCACTCGCCCGTCCGCCATGAACAGCTCCCCTACACATACACACACACACACACACACAGTGAAAACACAGCTGCTTCTATGACAAGCAATGCTACATCAACATTGATTACAATGATACAGTTGCTGTGTCCCAGTTTTAAACTAAACGTTAGGGATGCATGATCTGAATGGGCCAAAATCAGAATTTTTACTCTAAACAGGCACTCAGAACTCAGCTAATTTATTATTTTTATTTTGACCTATGTTGCAATGACCTAAATAACATGTGTCAGGTAAGTTCTGTATTTGAATGCTGCTGCTATACTTACACCAAAATGATACAGCACAGTGTTTCCCAACCTGGTCCTTAGGAGCCCCTAGAGAGTCCACATTTTTGTTTCAACCCACACAGGGAAGAAGGAAATTATGGACCATCTGGGGGGCCCTAAGGACTGGGTGGGGATGCTGTAGCACAATTATGCATGACTCATAACTGGCAAAATAGCCAGTTCCTTCTTACTTTCGGGACAGCTCTTTTTTTGATTAATGTTATTTATTGTTAACTGATTTTTCAAGTATGAATTTAAAAATGCACTTTTCCCCATTAAAGAGCAAATAGCACTATTTATATTGCAACTTTAGCCAACAGGAAGTACTTGAAAAAGTGGCACAACTGTCTAAGCGTTGGCACTATTGGTGGGAGTTCGCAAGTTTGATCCCTGATGCCACAGCCATCTGTGACTGGGAGTTCAAGTGAGCATGGATGGCCCTCCCTCTCCCTATCACTCAGCACAATGCTAGCCAGTGCGGCATAACGGAATTGGCAGGTCTCCACCAATTATTATTGGAGCTGTCCAGGAACACTGTGTTAGCATAAGTTGTGTTAGTGAAAAGATGCAGTAGCCCTTCAAGTGTCTCAGAGGAAGCTCGTGTTAGCCATCACCCTCCTGGCTTGGTAGCATTGTGTGATGGGGGAGAGCTAGTCTAGCAGGTGGGACGGACAACAGCTAAGGAGAAAACTGCATAAAACAGCTTTATTTGGTGATAAAGGAGTTAAAATCATCTAAATATTCATGACTGACACATCCCGACTAAACAACTAACTGTTTTTGAGTATACATTTTGTTGCGTGATGTATTCACAAGTGTAGATACTTTACTTGAGTAAATATACTTAAAATAACTTATGCATGCATAGAATCTATATCTTCTCTAAGTATGGTGTTAAAGCTTTCCCACAATGCAATGCAAAGCGGAAAGGGAGAAGTTAGTCACAGCTGGAAAATATTGAAAAAAGGCCAATAAAGTGTGAAGTGCTAGCTAGTTACCTAACAAAATGAAACCAGAATTGACATACAGTCGTGCAAAAGTTTGTGTACCTCTGGTCAAAGTACAGATTTTGTTGATTGAAGTGATCATAAGTTAAACATCCTCTACAGAGAACACACTCTGCACGATTTAATACACAATTACTGTTTATTTGCTGAAATTATTTGCTGAAAAAGTTAAGGCACATGTTATGTTTTATGTTTTCCAATATATTAAACTCAGTAAGTAAATCATAATTAAAAAAATAGCATATTTAAGTTTGTTCCCTGTAGCGCAGGGCTTCTTAAATGTGCAGGATCATTAGCACTATCTTATGAAGATCATGAACAACTGCTTCATTTAAGCTACGTAATACACACAACTAAAACAGAGAATGTTTATTTTAAGTGTGTTTTAAGTTCATTATGTTTGGACATTTTTAATGTGTCACTGGTTACTTGGCCTTACTTGGCCACAAACAATGGAGGATATTCATCTCTATCTCTAAATAAGGCCATGTGCCGCTGCCGCTGCAGCAGGAGTTCACAGTGAGGGCTATCCCAGGCAGCTGCACACTTCTTCCTCACTGGCTAACACAAAACACACAAAGACACAAAGACACACATGTGCACAGCTCTGTACTGGCACGCACGGCTGCCCATCACCATATTACTACATCCTCGTTACAGCCTCTGAGTGTGTGCGCGCGTGTGCATGTTTGTTTTTCAGGAGCACAGATGGGATAATTTGGGCATGCTAATACACTGAGGGAAAATAAAGATTAAAGCTTTGAGCCGTTCTGAGTATGAAGGATAAATAATTGAGCGCATCTAACAAAAAACATGGACAAGCCATCTTTTTAAAAGAGTTTTTAAGAGTTAATCATTTTTAAAACAAGTATTTCATACTCCATGTAAACGCATAATTCAGGACTGCCACACTTTTCAGATTTTCTACATTTTATTTATTTTACAGAATTTGAAAATGTACGCTGTCCTTTATAAAGTGTATTACATTTTATAATAATTACATTTCATTTCATTTTATTTTATTTGTTTATTTGACAGGGACAATACAGATAAACAATGTTACATAGAATGTAACATATATAATGTATATAGGGCATCTAGCTTAAGCTAATTTGCAGCCCCAGTCCCTGGTTAGGCCTTTTAAAAAAATAATAAATAAATTAAAAAAAGGAAAGACGTTAACAGCACAACATATGGAATAAACACATAGAATACAGAAAACATGCATACCTATTTGTATGATTCATGATAAATCAAACAATGGAAATGCATGAGAATTACTTGGTAAAATTCTTGTTCCAAAAACTTTTATTTAAAGCTTACAATGTTTTTTCTCCTATTAAGTTCCAATTTTGGAGATACAAGGTTTTTCTTGACAGTGACAACTGCTTCTCACAGAAAGTCATATTAAATTTATATTTGCATGTCCCAACATCCTTAACATAAAAGTCAGCATTACAACCCTTAATGACCCCTTGCTGACTGAGTGAAACACAGGCACACATTCCTCAAAGCTATATTACTTCCTAACTAAACTTAATAATTCCCAAAAATGCAGAAAATGCAGTCAGAGCTCAAATAAATAAACATTACTCACTGCTGCCCTCTTAATTTACCCTGCATTTAAGATGTAGAACGTGCTATTTTTCGTGAGGCTCATAAAGTGTCTCAATAAATGTTTTTTGCTTTCTTTTATTTACATGCATTTGCCTTGAATCCACTTTAAGCGCCCACATCATGGAAAAATACATTTTCCTCAAGTCCACACAGTCCATATTTAAAAGCTAAGCTGCAAAAACAGCCTGTTTTGAACTTATTGCTCCTGCAATCTAACTAAAACTAACTTATTTACGTATATAGTCCTATTTGGCCCAGAACAATGCATGTAAAAATAACAGATGTTTAAAATATCACATGTGGTCAGTGTAGGGTTCTCCTTTAGCAGTTGTAGCCAGTCAGCAGCCTGTCCATGTTGTCCACCCTCACGCACACATATACAAACACATACACACACAGACACACACACTAACAGCAGGCCATGTAGGAGGAGAACAGAGTGAAGGGACACAGCACCTCCACTCTTTTATTCCCTGTGAGTTCACCCAACACCACGTGTAATATAAATGTGTGGGGGGTGAACAGTGTGAAGTCAATGAAAATGTGTTATTTTATATGTTCTTCACAGAAAATGAGCGAAGGACAAGAAATCTGGGGTTGAAATAAAAATAAATCACATAATTTTTCTTTTGGTAAACATTCAAAACGGGTCCCACAGCCCTAAACACCACACAACGGTTAAGCAGCCCAGCTTTACACTTTTCAAGGACCTCACTAATGTTTCCAAGATAATTTTAGCAGTCTTTTCATTTCCTCAGCACTAAAATTCTCTGTTTTCCTAATATTGCCATGATGTGAAGGAAATCTGATAATTGCAGAAAAACTGAAAAGTATTCAACGTCACTGCAGGTTTGTTCCAGCATGTCTCAATTAATATTTAAGTCAGAATATGTCGACATAATGGAGAAAAGGCTAACAACGTAGCCTACACGGCTCTTTTTTTTGCTCAATATTTGAGGGCTTTCGTTCCTCCAAATGCAATATGGTGGTCTGGCTGAGTTGGGCAACGCCTGCAGTGTGGTTCTCTGCTCCAGTATTACATCAGCCTGGCTGCCACTCACTGACTTCTGCTTGCTTTTTTTTTCGCTGGTGCAAAACAAGGATGTAGCCCATTTCAGGCAGGAAATGAGCCCACTGCAGAGGAATGTTGGAAATGGAAGTGAGAGGGCACAAATACCCAGAGTAAGAGCCCTGGGAAAGGCGCTTTATATACAGCTGTGTATAAATAACATAAGATAACATACGGTTCATGTCAGGGGCACACAGAACTTCATGGCCCCTCTGAAGCTCTGCGCTAAAGGCTGTTTATGCATCAGCTCTACAGAATTTATAAGATTACCAGCTGCTCATTACTGTATTTTAAGCCAATTACTTCTGAATATCATCATCTCCCATGAAGCATCTGACATGTAACAATCTCAATGTTCTCTGGTTCATTCACACATGATTTGTGTGGATTTTCTTACCTGCCTGCAGCCAGATACGCTCCAGGGTGGTCCAGATGTACGCGGGGCCCTGCCTGTGGGTGGAGCTGATGGCAGACACCTCAGACATGGCCTGCTCCAGCCGAGACACAGCCAGAGACGGAGCGCTCTGAGATCCTGAGATAAGAAAAATGGTTTACACACATATAAACATACGCAGTCTTATTCATATACACTGTCATGACAGAGGTGTCCAGTTTCCTCACTCAAAAAGCACTAAGAGCTCAAACTCTACTTATAAGTTCAACCTAAATGAACGGTTTTAAACTGGCTTTAGGCCGAATAGGTGGAAATGGGTAAGCATGTTGGTTTGCATGGCATCACAGAAACAGTGAATTCAAAACAAGCTCTCCTGTAGCATTATTGGACTGGAGAGTGAGTGGTTTTAATGTTTTAAAACTTTAACAAAGTTCACATACTAAATCAAGCTGTTTTACTTCAAAAAAGCAAGGAAAATGGGTCTTATGTGATATAGGTCTATTAAATATTATATATCTTGAAGCTGCGGGTGGAGTCTATTGGCATTTTTTAAGCGGTTTTGTTGTTTTCTGTCAGCTATCTCTTCTTTTTCATCAGTTCTCTTGACATAAAGGTTTTTGTGTTATGACATTCTGCTCAATCTTAAAATTAGGTTGAGATCAGAGGTGTAGCCTACATATTTAAAAATGATGGCTCTTCAAGGGTTCTTTAGCAAAGAAAATGGTTCTGTATAGAACCATGAACACTCATGAACCTTTGCATGACTAAAGAGTTTGTTGCATTGTGAAATGGCTCTGCAGATTGATGGCAAACGTGCTGTATATGGTTCTATACAGATCCTTTTTGAAAAGGGTTCTATATAGCACCAAGAAGGCTTCTTCTAATGTTACAAGCTCAATATCGTAACAATAGAAGGACCCTTTTTGGTGCTATATACAACCATTTTCTTTACTAAAGTAAATATCATTTTTAAGTGTGTACATAAAGGTATACACCATATGACCATATTTACTTAAATATGCAGAGTGGAACATAAGAGATTCATGCATTTGGCAAAAATTTTGAGAGACAAAAAGGTAATAAATTAACACTGAAACCCAATTCTAATCTGCCATGGAAATAAATTTCTTCCTGACTCTTGGAAATGAGTTGAAAAGAAAACCTTTAGTTGCTCTACTGCAGGTCAAACAGGGACTGGAACAAATTACAGCTAAGAATGCTTCTACCTTTACAAAAAAGAGTTTTGTCTTTGCGAAGCTGGTTGCCTGGAGCAGAAAAAGGTCAATGCCTCTTTAGAATCTTTTTGTACCCCATAAACATGAAAAACCCCTGCAGTAGTGAGAGACTTGAGTGTGCTTGAACAATCACTGACAGATGCTGGAGAGTTACTGCTAATGTTGGTTACCAACAGCTATTTTAATTAGCTTTATTAACATAAAATGTGAAAAAAAACACTTAACATACAAAACGAAAAAAAAACATTCAGGATTGTATCTGAAGTGGAGAGTAACATTAACGAGTTACAGATATTTATGTAGCTAGATAAATGTTCTAGTTACATTGCTATGCCTTGGCTAGTCTTGCTAACTATGATCAGGTCAGCTAGTCCCAGTACACCCACTACTTCAGACTAGACTATATCACTCGTTTGCAACTGGATACCAATTGGTATTTTGTGTTTACAAAAAAAGTTCAGCCTGTTTTGCTGTAATGAAGGTGTGTAAGTGACAAGTACCAGCTTAGCAGTTTCTATAAAGATTAGTATTATAGTGTGAAATTATACAACTCACTACAATATAAAATAGGCCTCTTATAAATACTGGTGTTTTATTTTTGAAAAATCTGCAGCCTCTTTCTGCACCATTCCACTGGTGGAAAATATTTTTAATTAATATAATCAAATGAAAAACGTTTCCTTCATTACTCTGTTATCAGATTAACTAGAACACTGTTGGCTCTCTGTGTGTAAAATGTTGTGACTCTGTTGAGCTGCTAGGGAGCAACGATGGGTGAAAGGGGAGGGGTGAGAACCCCCTGCTGTGAAAACAATTCACACCTCTCCACAAAGACAGCCAAGAGGAGTTAAAACAGACAGTACAACTGCAGTTTACTGGATATTAAAAAAAGTACTAAACTGCAACAATAAAAAATGTCATTTTATAAATGTTGACTTGCTTGTTCTTCTACAAATGCGACAATCCAGTTTCTGGTTTTGTAAATCATCACACATTTCCACCAAAATATACTCCAACAACAAAATGCATAATATCTTACTCTTAATATCAACTAATTTTATCAGCTCAGAGCTGGACACTTCTGGCATCCATGACAAAAGGAGGTTGTTTCGGATCATGTTCATAGACGATGACGGAGATGTACACACACAATAATACAGACCGGTTTCCGTCTCCTGGAAGTCCGGTAGAGTGAGGTGTAAGCCGCTGGACTTTCTGCTTATTGGGCTTGGCTCAGGAGGAGGGATACTGCTACTGTCATCAACCTCACTGCAACAATAGGCTTCACTTTAGACCAATGCATCCATTTGCCTAGCAACCGCAGACATACACTTATGCATGCATGCATATTTTACCTGGGCCGGGCAAAGTCGTAACGGCTCTGCCACAACTGAAGCATGTCCTCACACGTCTGCAGCGCTACAGCAGGACCGAACAGAGCCTCCTCCAGTTTCACTTTAGTAAAGAGCAAGCTGCAAAACATACAAGCACATCCTTTTAACAAAGAAAAAAGCAATGACAGGGCAACAGACCACATAAGACCAGTGAGTCATCCATTTTCTATGTTCCATTAAAAAAGCCTGTGCAGTGGCATTTTTCTGAGCTGAGGCCTTTAGCAGTGCTGATACGTGTAGATGGGTGCTGTATGTGTGTGATACTGACAGCCTGCACCCAGCAATACTGCTGTAGCCAGGGGACACACTCCCACTGAAGCATGCCTCCTCAGCAGCTCATGAGTGGGTGGACGGGGTCGTATGTGTGGAAGGGCGCCTAGGAGTCTTTGTGTGACGAAAGCAGTGGAGCACTGAATCGTTTGACACGAGCATGCCGAGTGCAGCCGAGGGACAGTACATCTGACAGAATGTCCTAAGAGGGATTCTAAAGCCAGAAACAGACTTCAAGTAGGCAAACGCAAACAGTTAGAGCTACGCAAACACTGTTTAATATGTTATGTACTTTTTTGGTCCTACAAGGGAAATTCATCATTTCACTGCCTAACCATGCCCAATCTGGGAGGAGCACGGCGCCGCCAGCAGAGGGGCGGTGGTGGGTCAAGTGTCTTGCCCAAGGGCACAACCAGTTTCTCCTAGCCAGTCGTGGGAGTTAAACCTGCAACCTTCCGGTTGACGGCTCACCTCTCCTACCACTAGGTTTCTGGCCACCCTGAATGACAATGCCTGGGCAACGCATTGCAAACGCACAGCCCTGCTTTACGAAATCACTGTGCATTCTCATATTACTGTGGCAGTTAAAACACTCCGAACTCCAGGGGGCGATAGAGGACAGATAGGAGCGTCTGCAAAAGGAATCTGTTAAGACCTCGCTGTTCCACACTGAAAAAAGGGGATTTGACTCAAAAAAGTTAGCTACCTTAAAATTTTGAGTTTACTGAACTTCAAATAGTAAGTCAAAAGAATATTCTCATTCTATTAACTTACTATTAGTAGTTCAATTAACTGAAGCCCCGCCCCAGACTGTATCCTGTTTGCTCACATATGCCGACATGATGTGATCTTTAGGCGTCCGCTGTCCATTAATGCATATGTGTCGTTGAGATCAAAGGCAAGAAGTATGTTTTTTTACAGTCACAGAAATGTCCCTCTGAATGCGGCCTAATGCTTCAAATGCTCTCAATATGTGGAGCAAAGATGTGTCAATGTCAGTGAAACTGGTCAACATGAGACTGAATTTCAGAATAAATCATTCAAAGCCACAGCAACAATATTCTGTTTAGCAAAATCAAGTGTTTGGTAACATTTTGGCAAGAATACATTAGTGAGCTTATTAATAACAAACAACTTGGCAGACAATGGAAGACTTAAAAAGTGGATGATCAAAGAAAGGCCATGTTACAGCCTGCAAAACTGTTCTAAAAGCCTGTAGACTTCTGAGACGAGTCTTAAGGTGTGATAAGATAAAGATCAGACAGACGGAAAGAAGAAGTGAATAGAGACAATAACTCTGTGGATGATGTTTCTGTTTGCAATCAGGACAATGACCTTAAACATATTACTAAAGCAATTATGGAGTTTTTCAGGGCTAAAATTGTGGATTTTTTTTTTTTGATGGGAGAAAAATCACCTGACCTAAAGCCCACAGAGAATGTACATCACACTCAAGACATAACCGAAGGCTAAAAAGCCCCTGATAGAAGTAGGAACTGAAAATGGCTGCATCACAGGCCTGGCTCAGGCTCACCAAGGAACATGCCAAAGTCTGCTGCTATGAATCACAGACTTAAGGAAATTACTGATTCCAGAAGATTTGCAACCATGTGCTAAACATGACACTTTTATTTAATAAATAAGTATAATCATAATAGATGATAATCTGTCCAATTACTTATGATCTCTGAGTCTATGTATTAACAGGCTTGTGATTACTACATGGTTCACCCAGTTCCAGGATGCCAAACCAGTTTGGAATGAACACATTTTTAGCTGGGAACAAAAATGAAACTGAACCTGTTCCAAAACAGAAAATAGCATTTAAAATTTCTGTAACTAGTTAATCATGTTATCGTTTCATTCATCCATGTAGCCCACAGATTAACAAGAATTTTTTACTACCTTATTATTTGTTTTTCCTCTGAACTCCCAAACGTAACTGGATCAACAGCATGTCTTGTGTGCTTACATTTAATGTATCATTTTTCACAGTATAATTTTAATAGCCTATGTGTTTGTGTGGACAAACACTTATAAAAATACAAACAAAACTGTTTGCACATCTACTATTTTATGATAGTTGGTTTACATAGAGAATATACAAAAGGAACAGAATCCACCTTTTTTCATTTTGTTTTAACTGCTTTATGTTTGGGTTGGAATTCAAAAACAGAAATGTCAGTTCTTTTCAGAGCAAACCAACTGTTTTGTTGCACAGTACAATTAAAACCGCATTGCAAACTCATAAACTCACTGCAAATACAGAAAACACTTTCATCAACATGGCTACGCCTGAACTACACATGTAACTTCAGAAATGCTGCAATGCCAGTCACAACACAATGGAAATGTTTCCAGAAGACTCTGAAAGGTGATGGAATATCTGTGATGGAAAATCACTGATAGAAGTTGATAAGACTGCTGAGACATTCCAGTAAGTTCATGGCTAATTAGGTTGACATGTCATAGCTGTGCTACGGTAGTTACCAGTCATATCTTACATTGCTGTTTGAAATGTTACAGTTAGACTCTTACAGCTAATTCGCATTATGATACTTTGATATTAGTTGTCTGTACAAATAAAAGTTAGCTTAGTTTTACTAGCAAATGTTCATGCTATACAGAATTTAAAAGTCCTCTCTGAGTGTCCTCCGGAAACTTCATTGTGCTGTGACCAATTCTGCAGCTTTTCTGAAGTTGCATATGTTTTCTGAATCTGCAGCATGTTCGTGAAATGTAGCGCTGCTGTCGTCATTTTGATTAAAGGGTTTTCTGAGTTTGCAGAGTGTCCGTGAATTTGCAGCATGTTTTATCATTTTGCTGAGTACTTGTAAAATGCAGCGCATATGTTGTAATTTTGATTAAAGTGTTTCCTGAATTTTCAGCTCATTTTTTATTTGCGGTTCGTTGGGTCTTCTCAGCCACCGTACATGTCTGAGCCCTGTCCAATATACATATAAATATCCTTGAATTACAGCCGGCATTCTGCACTTCGTTCTTACAGTCACTGAGTACAGAGCCAACAAAACTCACTGTCCAATCACAGACAGACTGCATTGTGTGTGTATTAGTGTCTATATGGTCAGTTAAATATTATATATGTAAGTCTGTAGAGAGTGAAAGTGATCCTCCAAACAAAACCTGAGCTGCCGGTCGTGGTGTGCGTGGCCGAGCACAGTGTGCAAATAGAGGCCATGCGATATGATATATGATATGACAAGGCTGGACTGCAGCCCTGCTTCAGTTTACCAGGGGCTCACACAGTTTCTATGGTGCAAAACTAGCTCCAGATCTGGAAATAAGAAAGAAAGAAAGAAAGAAAGAAAGTGGTGTCAACTGTAAACATACTATTTTTAAAATTCCCTCTGTCGTTCTAGACATAGCCATGCACAAGCACAACCACGCTGTCCAGCAAAACTCCTTATATGGACGTGCATGTATGTGTACATATAAGCAAAAATATTCCTCTATAGAGTACTGACCTTTGATCTTAGGCCTAATTATTTCCTGTGTCTTTTTTTCTCTTTTCTCTCTCTCATTTCTCTTTCTCTATCTGGAACCTTAGAGAACAACACTGACCCCATATGGCTGAAATGTGAAGAGCGTGCGAGACATGAACACAGTCATATCAGATTTAAAGGTGAGGCCTAACCTGTATCTCCACTGTACAGATAAACTGTTTGTGTCTACTGATACCATGGCAACCAATACTGATGAATCACTGTCACAGACATACACTCAAACCAATGGCATGTTGAAGTTTCCATAAGGGTGTCCTGCTGTTACAGCATTACTCATCACTCACAGAATTATACAACTGCTCTCCACCACCTGCAACCAGCAAGAAGACAGTGGATCTGCCCTGAGAGAGCAGTTAAGAGCGTTTGGGAGGGGGTGATTCAACCTGGCATAGGGGAGACATCAACTCCTGAGGGTAGAGATGCTCCCATTGGCAGTTATTGTTTTGTGGCAGGGTATTTGTTTATTTGCCTTGTTCGTCGGATGCAAAACCTGAATTTACTGACCTGGCTTGCGCTGTCTGGCCAAGTAGGCCACACTCTGCGCTAATGAAATCCCTTTTGCTTGCAACACATAGTAAAACACTTTGGCTAACACATAACCTACTTCCATGTCACTGCACACACACACACAAATCAGGATGTCGCACCTTAAACTAGGCTAGCAATCCCCCTAGACTACAGCCAGGTTGTTGGTATAGCTAGGCAGGAAAGAATTCTGAGCACCGACACTACTGCGCAAAAGTTTGGAATCACTGTTTAAAACAACGTAAAGCATAATTTGGTTGCAGATGCATGTGTAAAAAAATTCCAATATGATATCAGAACTCTGGTCTGGTGAAATTACGTTTTGTTGATTTTCTCAGTGAAAATCAGTTCACACACAAAAAAGTGAACCCATCCTCTACAGAGAACACACTTCTGTACATTTTAATGCACAATTTTTGAATATATTTTGAATTAAAATAAGCTAAAATAAGCTGAAACACCGTCTACATAAAACAAAGTTAAATATGGGTTGGCTTCAGATAATTCCAGGGACCTAAAAAGACTGTGGCCCACAAAGATTTTCTATTTTTCTTTGCAGAATTTTTGGCTTTCTGAAAGATTCTTCACTGAAACTTGTCGTTCATTAAATATTAATAATAAATAATAATTAAAGAATTATAGTTTTAGATACAGTACATGCATCTTGCGTTCTGTCGCTTCCAGTGGACCCCTCTATGTAAACATTCACTGGTGTAGCCCAGTCACAAGCTGAGAGAATTTTGTTTTTAATTCAAATGCCACAAAATTAGGCTTTCAAACATGCCAGGAAAAAGAAACATCAAAAAAAAGAACATCAAAAATGACAAAGACTATGTCACCTGTTATTTTCCTGAGGTAATGGGGATTATTAAGATACACTGAAGCTATGAATAGAATGGAAGCTTATGCCATAGTGCCTGCAGCTGTCAAATGGAGATGATGAGACAAAGCTGTCTAAACAAAACCCCTTTGTTTTACTGCAAATTTTAGCGTTTCTGAATTTTGTATAATTTATATTCACAGCATGCAAGTAAGATTCGGAATTGTGGAGATATAAACCAAAACTTACAATGTATCCAAAGAGGTGACACACTTTAATGTGATGAGTATCTACGGAAAATGAATGCATGAAATTTTCAGCGGGTTCAACATTCTGGATGAATGAAGAAATGTACAACATGTGTTTGAAAACTGGTGATCAAATCTTCATGCAGATAATTAAGGTATAATATTTATTATTTAATAACTTCCTTTTGTTTGAAATATTGAAATATTGAGCAAAGCATCTTAAAATAGCTTGTTTATAACATTTCAATCTACACTGTATAAGTAATTATTTTATTATTTAAAAAAAAAAAAAAATATATATATATATATTGATATGACATGTGATTCCAATTTTTGGAATGGTAGTATATCTAAAGACTATCAACCACTGCCCAGCTCAGCAGTGAGAGGACTCAGATGCCAGGACTGGCCTTTCTAAATAAGGCTGAGCGGGTGTCTCTGAGCTGAGCCACTACTGCAGCTACACACAGCAGTTATACTTATCCTCCCAGACACACACACTTGGAGGGTCAAGAGATTACAGCACCAAACAGGCCATGCCCATGCGCAGTGCAGGACTCTAGCTGATGGGTCGTTCAAGGACATACACAAAAAGAAGTCTTTCTTAGACATGCACTTTGCAGCTTCAGAGCATTTAGAGCATTAAATTCACCATAGAGGTGAAGGGAAGTGTTGGTGGAATCCAGAAACCTGTTTTGCTGCTCTAATTGTTTTATTGTAAACAATGTGCTTTATAGTACTATATATAGTCTGTACTACATAGTCTAAAAGTCTAAATGGAAGAAGAATTTGTTCTGTTTTGGCATCTACAAGATAGATATGTGTGTGTGTGTGTGTGTGTGTGAGTACATATATGTAATATATTGTAATTTTCTATATGTACAAAATTAATTATCTGTAATTTTCTAAGCCTCATTCTACACCTAACCTTAAGTAACAGAAGTAACAGAACTCCCCTTTCAGTTTTAAAGGGCCCATATCATAGAAAATTGAATTTTCCTCACTTTTTAATTAAAAGAATTTGACATAGTACATAAACACTGTTAAAGTTTCAAAGGAAAGCATTGATTTCTCAGTATGTAAATGGAAAATAAGCTGCAAAAACAGCCCACTTTGAACTCATTGTTTTTGTAACCTTACAAAACACCTACACCTTTACACATTTCCACCTATTAGCAGTTTAGCCCTGCCCACTCATGCTGAAGTTATATGGAGTGTTTCAGCCCATACTGCTTTTTGAAATGTAATGAAGACAGCCTGTTTAATGAAGGGATAAGGAGAAGTTGGAAAAGGGTCAAAATGAATTACATCTGTTTTTGGTATATAATCTCATGTAACTTTCATAAGTGGACATCAAGAAAAAATATAAAATATAGGAAAAAATGTAGAATATGGGCCCTTCAAAACACATGTAAAAATATTACACATTTTCTTGATGTCTTCAAAAGTAAGGACACTTTTGTCCTAAAAAATGTACTAGAACAAGTACATGCTCTCACACACTTGAAGTTCTCAGGATATTGGTTGAGGGCGACTGTCAGAGTGTCGAGGGCGTGTTGGTAGTGTTTTTGGGCACTGAGCAGGAGAGCCAGCAGGTGCAAGGAGTGCAGGTCATCGCTGCGCAGACGCAGAGCCAACTGCAGAGGCTCCATCGCTGCTGACACCTTCCAAACAGAGAGAGAGAAAGAAAGAGGAAAAGAGATACAATGTTAGAGACTTGCACAGAGGAGGATCAAAACAGCATCCATTCAGTCCAGAAGGAAGGGAAATCTAGACCTGCTGACAGGTCCTTGAGTTAAGGGACATAGAGAAGACGTCATTATCCTAAACTATGGGGCAGTAGGGACCTTATAGGGTGACCCTGATTAGGATATGTTTTCACATGTGAGGCTGAGAGAGCCCGTATCCTCACCTGTCGCACCAAGGCAAGCTGAAGAGAAAGATAGAGGGCAATCTGAGGGTCCTGGGGGTCCACTTCATGTGCTCTAAGAGCAAGAGCAAGAAGAAATAAACATAAACATACATGGTAACCTGCTTTTGCAGTACAGACTGAGAGAAGTAACTCTATTTAGATTTACTTCTGCAGGGCTTGTAAAGCTCTTCTGTTGAACTCATCCCGGTCACCTTTCAGCGTGGCTGTAAACACAAAGGGCAGTAACATGAAAGGTTATAGAGAAAGAAGGGACATGAAGACAGAAGAGGATAAGTGGATAAGGAGGTTGATGGTCAGGACTGTTTGAGGGTGAATAGAGTTAATGAATGATGATCACCATACTGAAAGCACACAAACAGTGATGTGTTTACCGTCTGAAGCTCGTAGACTACAGCACAGGCCGATTGCCAAGTGAGCTCTGGCAAGAGACTCTTCAGCTCCTTCTCCCAAAGCAACCACACTTTGTGCAAGAGCTTCAGCCTCCTCTATCTACAAGACACACAAACATTTCTACAAAGTAAAGCCATGTATAAAATAGATGGTCAAATGTATGCGGATACCAAATTATCGAGTTCAGGTTTTCCAGCCACACCCACGGCTAACAGGTGTATAAAATCAAGCAAATAGCCATGCAAAGCAATGCAATCTCAACAGACATCGGAAGCAACATCAGCACAAAAACTGTGTGTTTGAAATGAGTTTATGAGCAGCTGCACACAAGCCTAAGATCACTATGCGCAATGCCAGTTGTAAGATGGAATGGTTTATAACAGTTCACAGTCTGGTGGACAAATTGAGGTTTGGCCGATGCCAAGAGAATTCTACCTACCGTAACTCATAGTGCCAACAGTAAAGTTTGGCTGAGGAGGAATAAAGGTCTCAGGCTGTTTTTCAGGGTTTGGGCTCTTAGTCCCAGTAAAGAGTAATGTTAATGCTACAGCATACAAGATTCTAGACAATTAAATGCTTCCAAATTTGTGACAACAGTTTGGAGAAGGCAGCCCACCTTCATATATCCACCCCAGAGCTCTTGTCGTTTTTTTAAAAAGTTCCTCCCATCTTAAAGACATCAGAAGTGGGTTTTCCAAGTCTTGAGAGCAAAAAATCTTACTCTAGAGACTATTGTGGCACCACTGTAAGTGGCAGGTAGGCATGATTACAACAGATGTAGCAATGGCTACATTTTTTGTTTTAGCCAGAGTGCCCCTCTAACTCCATATATAAAAGGAATATTCTATGCTTCACCCTAACTTTAACCTCACTAACCAAATATAAATGATTTTGTCTTTTCAGTTTTGAAAAATGAAAAATATAGCTTATTTTTTTAAAAAGCACTTTTCAGCCATTTAGTTGCAAAGTGATTTTTTTTTCTGGTTTTCCTACAGTCAGAAAATGTCATGAAAAGGTATAAAAACAAATTCAACAAATACACACATGTACAGACCTTTCCTGTCTGTTGTTTTAGTGATGACAACCCTGTAATATATTGTACACAGTGTAGCTTCCAGCTACTTATCAACAACTCAGTGGGCAACAAGCTAACAACATGCATCAATTCAAACATGCTGACTGCGAACCAAGCCCACAGTAATGTCTCCTATCTCTCGTATCTGGTATTAACTTTCTGTCTCTAGTTCAAAGGCTGATAATAGTCACACTGCTCTGGGAATCCTAGTGTCGAGTGGTCTGGCCAGTGGCATTAAGTCATGTACTTACTGTGGAGGTCTACAACTATAGTGGCCTATTGTGATTAAAGACATAAGCCTCTTATAACCTGCACTCTTCCTATCAGCCTTACTCTCTGCTCCTCCAGCAGATGTGCCCTAATCTCCTCACTGTCAAGCCCTCTATTGTGGGTAGGTGGCTGTTCGAGTTTGTGATGGATATTGTATTGTACTGTACTGTAATGGCGTAAATTACATGGTATTGTTATGTGGGGCAGTTTACATAATGTCCATTCAGCAGCATAGGGAAATTACTTTACAGGAACATGGGTTTACTCTGTGTTTGTGTCTGTGTTTGTGTTTGTGTGGATTACCCAGTGCAGCTGGTTGATGCACACTTTGGCTGCCAGCAGTGGTGGCATGGGGTCCTGAGGTTTCATTCTGGCACACTCTTTAAACACGGATACTGCCCCTTCAGCCTGTAATATAAACACATAGCCAGTAGCACACGCGCACACACAGACATATGCAGTGACATAGTGACACAGTGACAGTGAAACACGCCCACACTGGAAATAGAAGGAGATCTAATGCCACCGCCATATACAGTGAGGCCTATTTCCAGAGGCCTTTATTGATCTGCACTGTCACCTCACTTCACTGTAGAAATCAGTTCTCCTCTTTCAGTCACACTCATACAAACATGCACAGGTTAGTTTATATAACAGCAAGATGTGATGTAATAAATACACTGCCAGTCAAAAGTTTGGACATGTATGTTTTATATGTTTTTTATATGTTTTTCAATTTTCTTAAAGACATTGTGATCTAAAGGTTAGGCTTAATAGTCTCAAGGGGCCAGAAATGATCTCATAACGAGAACATCTGGGAACTACCATAAGAACTCTTGGGCTAAACAAACACATTCGGTATGAAATTTCAAAACAATCCAAGGCCTCATGGAGTCGACACTTGTAGTACATTCTCAGAAGCAGAGGTATGAAATTGTCACTGGGGCAGTACCCGCCTGTCACTGGGGTGGCACCCTCAAGGGTATATCTCAGTACCTTTAGTCAGGGAACATAATTGTACTATAAACCATTGAAATTATATTTTCTAAGCTGTATTGACTCCACACACCCCGTCTTGTCTCCAGGCTTTTTATTTTATAGCTCTGCATTAAAACATTAGGTTATAAAAAAGGTACAAATGTGTACTTTTACTTGGGAAGAACTTATGTAGGGTACTTAATTGGACCTTAAATCCACTGTTGTACCTTTGAGGGTACATTTACATTGTTTGTACCATAATGAACAAAAAAAATTCTATTTCTATAATTCACATTTGGTGCACTAGTACCTACATTTCATTTACACAGAGAATTAGATGCTTTATGAGTATCTTTATTTAAAACTAAATGTATTTCACCTTATGAATGTTGACACCTTACATGATAACAATGGTGTTGGGAAGTCACAGAAAATGAAAATGCAATCTGGTTGAATGCATTATCAAGGGCTTTTTGACACTAAATGTGTGCGGTAATGTGAGAATATGTAAATACAAAGAGGAGAGGTGCTGTTTCCCATTTACATTTGAATTTTGACATCTTTCTAGCTTGGTTTTCACTTTGATAATGCAATTTCAAAAACATTATTAGAGAGTGCAACTGCATATTTACAGGAGTTACACTACATTTTAATCGTAATTTTGACACCATTCTTGCATAATCAAATGGAAAATGTAAATGGACTTGCATGTAAGAGTGGAAATTTTAATTCAAACTTTGGATTACTCTTCAATTTGCATATTACATTTTCATTTTAATTTTGATACTGATATGCTTCCATATTCATGCAGGAACCTGGTTTAACTCTGGACAGTAGAAGTATGTATTCCTTTGAAAATCTATTAAAACCAATAACCAATATATTTCTGTTTCTCTACAGCAAACAGGTTTTGGGCAGTCAGAATGCAGTGTTACTGCTACTGAGTGCTGATTGGTTGGCAAGCTGATCAGCTCATTGGCTACGTAAAGTAAAAGCTAATGTCATGAATGTATATGATTCACTGTTGAAAGGTCCTATAACTGGAATTCAAAAGCATCGAAAACAATGTTGAAATATTTTATGCTATTCAAAATGATTTACAACAATTTACAAAGTAGGATTTTGGCCAATATAGGAACCTGGATGGGGTCTAAACAGTCCTGCTTGGCAGAAAGCTAACACAGTTGTATGCACAAGTTTGAACACCCCGGTTTAGGTTTTATTTTTCTAGCATATCAAATTGAACAAATAAACAATAATTGTTAAAATGTGAAGAAGTGTGTTCTCTATAGAGGATGTGTTAACTTATTTGCACTTAAAAAATCAACAAAATGTGATTTGACCAGTGGCACCCAAACCTCTGCATAGGACTGTACTCATATGTATTATATCATTTGACTCATATGTATTATATGAGCAAGCACCCAAATGTAATGGGAATTCTCTAAGCTTAACCTTGAACCTAACCATAACCTTCACCTTAGTCACAATAAAGAAATTGTTTTGCTCTTTCAGGTTTTAAAAAATGATAATTTTTCTACAAAGCACATTTTTGTTCAGAAAGTGTAACAAAAAGGACCTTTGTGTTTTCTGTGTTAAATGAAGAGGACCGGGTTCAGGATTTAAATCTCACCTTTCCACTAGCCATGAGAGACAAACCCAGCTGGTACCAGAGGTGAAACTCATTAAAGGAGAACTTCATGGCCCGCTCCAAACACTGACAAGACACACACATATACACAGATATGAACACAGATATGAACAGACACACAAACAGACTAAGGGTTGCACAGTTACATGAAATGAAACTGAATGAAAATGTATTAATTATTCAGCACCATTCACAAACATACTGTGTCAACAAAATATACTCTACCAGTCTGTTTTGGACACACCCAACTGTACGTTTTTCTAATTTTCTTAAAGGGCCCATATTATGAAAAAACAAAAAGTTCTCCCTTTTTAAGTATAAGTACGGAGCCCCACTGGTGACATCCTGTATAAATAAAAATAATGCATGGCCATGCCTTAGTAAGGCATGAGAACAAGATAATTATGTTGTGGCCATGACTTATTAAAGTGTGGGAACAAGATCCTAATGCGTGGCCACGACTTAGTAAGGCCTGATCTCGTTCCCACGCCTTACTAAGTCATGGCCTCGACTTAATTATCTCATTCCCACGGCTTACTAAGTCGTGGCCACGCATTATTTTTATTTATACAGGATGACACCAGCAGGGCTCCGTATATAAGAGACTTTCCATGTATACAAAACTAAACTGCAAAAACAACCTATTTTGAATCTACTGTTTTTTCATGTCACAAAAATCAACACAAATATCCGCATATTAGGCCTACAGCAGCTTGGCCCCATCCACTCTTGCTGAAATTAGATAAACTGTTTCAGCTTGACTTGCTTTTTGAATATGACACAGTGTATAGTGGCCAATCAACACAGAGGTTGTTTACATATTACAGCCTTAAAGTAACTAAAACAGCCTGTTTAAATCGAAGGCATAAAGAGAGGTTGGAAAATGATCACAGAAAAATGTACTGTGAATGTTTTGCTACATAAACCCACACAAATATAAGTGAACCTCAGAGGAAAAAAAAAAACAAGGAAGTGTAGGATATGGGCTTTTTAAAGACACTGTGATCTAAAGGCTTCAAAGCTTGAAGTTGTTTCTAAATATTAATATTCTAACTGATGACAAAAAGGGGTTTCAAGTCAAAAAATTTACTAGGCTGCCTTAAAACTTTGAGTTTTGACTGAACTTCAAATTGTAAGTCAACAGAATCTAAGACAGAGATTCTTGTTAACTTACTATTAGAAGCAGCAGCATTGAAGAACAACATTTTTACAGTGTATTTATTCATTTATGTCCAAAACAGAACATTTTAAATTAAAACGTAAGTTTTTGAAACAAGTAATTTTCATTTATGACTGTAGTGAAATTCAGAGTTGGAACCAATCAAATGAGCCTATAAGCTGCACTTTGATGATGGAGAACAGTAGAAAAAGCTTTCTATTTCGTAGAAAGCTTATATTTTAAACTGGAATAATTCCATATGAACTATTATTTAGTTTTGATGTTTTTTATTATTATAAAATGTTCAAAAACAGTAAAAATATAAAAAGACTTGTGTAAGTATGTCCAACATTTTGACTGGCAGTGTACAGAGAGTGGTGATTTGGCATGTGAAATGTGTATGCATGATGATATTTATGGTTAAAAAGCTCAACCAGGAATTACTGCAGCTGGCAGGCTTTTTTTGTAATTCAGCAGCTGCAAATACCTTTGAACAGCCTTACACTACAGATATATCAATTTAAGGGGGTGGACAAACTAACAGACTGTACAAATGAAAAGAGGTCACGATCTAAAGTGATTAAATAAATGTCAAAGAAAAAGCAGTGAGCACTGGTGTGTTCTTAGTGATTTAAAAAAGCATTTAAAACCCAAGCTGCCCGCCCCCAAACATCCAATACGTCAGCCCAAATACTTATGACAGAAACATCAATATACTGCTGGGTGCTTTCGCTATTTTTTTTAGTCCAAAAATACTGCTGTCTGACTTGAGGCTTAGTCCGCTTCAGAAATTCCTGATTGGGCCTTTCAGTGACTCATTAAGTATTACAAAGCATTTATTGATGGATAAGAATGGATTTAGCAGTGAATTAATAGAACAATAGAATAATGAAGTGAATGCTTTTTAATGCGATACATATAATAGAAGCTTTAATGACATTTTAATAGGAGGGAGTTCCACAGGGGTGAACGTTAAGCACTTTCCAGTAAGTGTTTAACACACTGTTGGTAATTAATAATGCACGATGATATGGAGGGTTCCTGTTAGAGTGCATCAAACTCTTTTACAGTGAATTCACCTGAGTGCCCTGGTACGCACCTGGTCTACAACAGACACAGCCTGAGGGAAAGGGCACAGGAGGAAGGAATGAGAGTAGAAGAAAAGAGAGGCACACAAAAGAAAAGCAAAGAGAGCGCAGTTGAGGAAGAGTAACTTGAATCAGGCCCTGATTTCCAAGTTACTTCCAAATGGTTGTAGGATTTATATTTAGCACTAGATTTGTGGGTTTTATTGAGCTCTGAAATAGCCTCACCTGAGACAGCATGGCGTACTGCCCCCTCCTGGCCATGCCGATGCTGAGCATGTCGTACACAGAGGAGGCCTCCTGAATACTAGCCTCCCGCGCCTCCTGGTGCTCCGGTGTGCGGCTGATCACTGCTTCTCCACTGGCCTGTGGGGGCAGCAGAGAGCACATTCAGATAGACAATATTCAGCTGGCACGGTTCTCAATTCTGCTCCTAAAGTCCTATCCTTCACATTTTTGTGTTTTTTTTCAGCTCTAATTTGTACTTAGCTACCATAGCATGGCAATATATTCAAAGATATATAGCAGTGATTCGTTAGTTATGTCCCTTTTAAGTTGTTAAATCCGCCCTCAGAGGTTTTGGGACATATGCATGTTTATGTTCGGCCTAGTAAAATGTATCAGCATGTGACACTGGAGCCTTCTATGTGTTACTGTGTTTTCTATCTCTATATAAAAGAAGCAAGATGTTGCCTTTTTTGTTGGATGCACTACTACATGCATACTTTTTTAAGCTAGAATGCACACATTCAGAACAGAATACAGATCAAAGGGCTTAATTACTTTTCATTAGTTTCATTAGAGTAACAATAAAACGTGAAGTATATTCTGCTTGCTCAAAATTGTAATTTGTGACACATTTTTTTACTTTGATAATGTTTTTCACAAATCAAAATATATACAACGACTGCATTAAGGGGTTAATCGCATTATTAACCCCTTAACATTCCAGGCTTATTACATACTAAGGCTTATTATTCAGTAACTACAGGGACTTCAATGCAAACTAATGGAGCTCTTCTTAGGTTACAGAAGTGTTTAATAAAAGGGCCCATGGCTTGGTAAGGGGTTAAAAGGGGATAGAATATTAAAAGGCAGAAATATATGTATTCGTATGTGTATGCATTAATTACTTATTAAACTGATCAGTCAGAGCAGGACACCAAAATATGCTGCATGGGGGTGTTCCAGGACCTGTGCTGAGAATCACTGCATTATTAGGCAGCCACAAGCATTTGGGACAGGTAAAAGATGCTGCTGCATGGTGGCTGGAGAGGTGCCTTGAAGTTTTTCTTAAAGTAAATATGAATTGACTTTTTCCTTCTCCCATATTTCCTACTGAAACTGTGGATCAAGGAGGGTTTCTGAACAAGCAAAGCATCTTTGCTCAGTGATATGAGGGGGTGGTGGGAGGAGGAGCTGAAATATACAAAACTGTTCAAAAGAGGCAACTTTTCATTAATCTCATTTCCAGTCAAAATGCCAATAAGTATGAGTTATTCATTTTTCAGAGTTGTATGATTTGCAAATTGTCTTCCCGATAGCTACACATCCTTTCAGACCCACAGCGCTGAGTGGTCTTCTCACAGTGTATGGATGGACAGAAACAACTGTGGATGTTTTCAGATCTGAAGCAGCTTGATTTTCTCCTCTCTCTCAAAGATGAAAGCTTTAAGTGCTGTTTATCTGATGGGGACAGTTTTGGTGTCTACCAGGTCTTGCATGAGTGTTAGGATTCTCTATTTTCTCTGTATCTTTTAATCATTTTTTGAACTCCAGTTGTAAAATTGCTGATTTATTACTTATTTTGCTTCGATTTTAAGTTAAGTGACCGTTCTTAGTCCCACAATGAGGAAATTTCACCTCCGCATTTTAACCCATCTGTGCAGTAAAACACCACATACACACTAGTGAACACACACACACATACACTAGGGGGCAGTGAGCACACTTGCGGTGGGCAGCCCTATCCACGGTGCCCGGAGTGCAGTTGGGGGTTGGGTGCCTTGCTCAGGGGCGCTTCAGTCACATACTGTTGGCTCAGGGATCAAACCGGCAACCTTCCGGTCACAAGGCTGATTCCCTAACCTCCAGCCAATGACTGCCCCAAGATAATGACTCGCCAAGCTAGGATCGAACCGGCGACCTCGTGTAGCAGGGGTGAGTGCGTTTTACCGCTGAACTACAGCAGCAACTACCGCGGCCCCTCCTCATGAAATTGAAATGGCTGTTTTGACAGGAAATTAAAGAGAAAATAAATAAAGGGTGGTCTCTAGTTTTATTACTGATTAATATTATTTTCCCTGCCTACTTGGTGACAGAAACACTTTAGAGGTGGGCAAAAGTCATTGTATTTCGATAGATGATTATAAAAAAAACAAAAAAAAAATGTCTTTTAAATTATATGATGACTCCTGCTTAATATTATCAAGGAGATGAAGTAATAAGATTAAAAAAATATTTTGGGTTGACTTTGAAACTGTTGGTTATGATCTGAGTAGAATTCGGAATCTGATCTTGGGACGGCACACCGCTAATTAAACTTTTGCCCAAAGTGCAGATAATCACAGCCCAGTAAGGTGATATGGCAGACATAATATCCCACCGCAAACTGTGACACATTCCTTCCGTTCTAGAATATACATGCAGTGTAATGAACAACCATTCGAATGTACAGTATTACTCAGGGATATCTGGTTATATTGTAGAGTGTAATAGAGCTGTCATAAATAAAGAGGAGATGGACATAATGAGTAGAGTGAGGGAGAGGTTGAGTAACGGGGAGAAAGAGATAAAGGAGTGTGAAAGAGGAATGCCTCACCATTGATTCAGTGATGAGCAGCAGGAGCACAGCCTCTTCCACCACGTCCTGCGGACAGAACGCTCTGCTCACGGGAAACAGGAAGGGGACAGGACACATCATGCAGGTGGGTGTGAGTGTGAGTGTGTTTGAGCATGTGTGTCCAGTTACACGTGTCAGTCTGCAACGGAGAAGTGCTCTGCTGGTATCATGGAAAACTGTAGCCTACTCTCAGGTATCCGGTACACAGCAGCTATTGTTCCTCAGTCTGCCTCTAAGCCATTCTGGGCCACTTCCTGTCTTTCCTTTCACCCTCCTGTCTTTCTGTCTGTGTCTCCTGTCTTCTGGGGATATTAGCCCCTATGAAAATGAAGGTAATACTTTACTTTGATGGTCCACTATAGATGCTTTGTAGATACCTTCTCTACACTGGGTCCAAAAGTTTGTAGACAACTAATGATGCTTTTCAAATCAAGAGTATTCATGTGTGTCTGTCCTCCTGTCCTCCTGTAGCTGCTGTAACGGCCTCTACTCTTCTGAACAGGCTTTACACTATTTTGATGGATGGTTAGTTTTGGATAACTCATCAGGTGCTGGCTGGAGCTCCATTACTCCAGAGAACACAGTTAAACTGCTCTACAGCCCAATGCCAGGGGTCTTTATACCACCCTAGCTGACACTTGGCATTGGACATGTTGACCTGAGGCTCATTTTTGGCCTCTCCAGAGCATCCTATTCTATTAGCAATGCTTTTCTATGGAGACTATTCAAGCTGTGTGTGCAGTTGTCTGCAATGGGCACACCTTAAATAGCTGAATTCACTAATTAGAAGGGATGTTTGGATACTTTTGGACATAGGCATATTGGGACGGTTTCCTGAGCATGGATTATGCCTGTTCTTGGACATTACACTATCAATGATACATTGCTATTGCAAATTCGTATTAGTCTAAGCTTAGATTAATCCGGGCCTAGGAAATCCGTCCGAGTAGCCATCAAATTCAAATGGTTGTATGTTGCTAGTATATTGCAAAATATGAATAAAACACGCTGTAATACATTTTCAATTACATTTTCTGTGAGGAGGAACTGCAACCTGCCTGCTCCCTTGTGATTTGTCCATATAAGGAACTCATACAAGTGATTTACCCATATAAGGAGCACCGGATCTAAGCAAGTTTCTCTAAGGGAAAAATCGAAGGCATTTAAATCTAAAACTAAAATGATACAAAGTTGCTAATGTAAATCCTAACGTATTTCCTCAGAACGTCACTGAATCCTCTGAATTATGAGGTTGTTAAAGAGTCAAAATATGAATATTGCTATATATAAGCTAAGGCTGGCTTTACACAGTAAAACTAGTTGCATGCTGTGAGCTGGCTGCAACATAACGTCTGTGCAACTTGACAGTTACACACAACACATTCCGTTATTTCAGTTACTTAGTGAAATTAGCACATCATGTTGTTGATACACAGTATTTTCCCCATATCTACATATTTGTCTTTTATCCATCTATGGTTCTTTACTATATGTTTACTATATATTGAGTTTTTACCTTTTGTGTGTGTGTTAAGCCTTAGGAAAATGAATGTTCAAGTAGCGATTATGGTTTTAGACTATTTTACATTATGCAACTTAAGTGCAAATTTGTTTCATTAAGATTTCAAGCAACTAACGTTGCATAACAGTTTCAAGTTAGCCGTCCACGATCATAAGATCGGTAACATCATAAAATACCTCACATAAATCACTACACTTTGTCAAGTGTGGTAGATAAGTGGCTTTGGCAACAGTAGCCCACAGTTTGGGCTAACAAAGTATGCAGAGAAACAGATGGAGTACAGTCTGTAACTGTAGAACTACAAAGTGCACCTATATAATAAGTGGAGCTGATAAAATGGACAATGAGCGTAGAAACAAGGAGGTGGTCATAATGTTATGCCTGATCGGTATACAATAGTCTTGAAATAAAGTAGTAGACTTACTCATTTCAAAGCACAGGAGCTTGTTTGTAGCATGGATATGCACTGTAAAAAAACTTTGTTTTACCCTAAAAAGTAAGTAACCAGGCTGCCTTAAAATGAACATCAAATAATAAGTTAGCAGAACATAAGACATTTTTGCTCAGTTAACTTACTGTAAAGAGTTCTATTAACATTAAATGTAGCCCTATAACTTACTTTCTTAGGCTAAAAGAACAAATCTTTTATATAGCTAGTAATATATTATTCCATATTTCAACTCTTATAGAACCTTGTAATTCAGAGGACCCAGTAACATTTGGAGGTCATTTTTTTACGGCCAGAGTGCACTGTGTTTGTGGTCAAACAAAAGCAAACATGAACATTAAAATGTCAGCAATTGTCATTATTCATAAAAGGAACTGACAAGCCAAATGAACCGAAGTGAATGAGGAGAGAACATTTTAGATTCTTCTAACAATCAAACACTGGTGTGAAACACCTACTAAACATTTGTGTTTGTTCGGTTTGTCCGGTTGGTGTTAAACTACGGCGTTCACTTTTCTTACAGAGAGAAGTGGCTCAGACTGGCACTTCCTTATTTGGGAATGTCACGACTACAAAATGGCGCATGACTTTAGAGGTCTAATCTTTCTGTTATCTGTCCTTTTATTAAATAACATTTCTCCCTTTCTTTTCATCTCCTGTTATCATCCTGATACACTAACACAGTATTATGTTCACAGGTAAAAGGGTCTCCTGCTGTGCCACTAATCCTCAATAAGGAATACACAGATTCCATGTCCCTGTTTGTCATTCTGTCCTCTCCTTTTTCCTCCATCCTTGATTTCTCCTTCTCCCTGTCCTTTCTGCTAGTAAATACTTAGTCACAAATAATGTGACAGAAATGGATTTAACAGCAGGCGACAGAGCCAAGTCTGCAGGAGGCAGTGAGAAAGAATGTGTGCATGTGTGTGTGCTTGTGTGTGTCTTTGTTTTCATATATTTTCAAGGACAAAAATGTCCCTGACTTTGTAGGAAAATCAGAGACAACAGGGTCAACCTATAATACCATAAGTGTTTCTTTACAAAATCTACGTTTTATATTGAAACTGATGGTGAGGTTAAGGTTAGTTAGGTTCACGTTACATACGAACCAAAAAAGTCCCCAAAATGTTGGGACAGTAGGTAAAATATGAATAAAACAGTAAGCAGTGATTTATAAATCTACTTTGACCTGTATTTGATGAAAAACAGTAAAAAAACAAGATATATGATGTATTATCTTATCAACTTCACTGTTTTTTCGGAAATATACATTCATTCTGAAATTCATGCCAACAATATGTCTCAAAAAGGTTGAGACAGGGTTCATAAATATCTCAAACAGGTGATACAATCATGCTTGGATATAAAAGGAGCATCCGGTAAAGACCTAGTCCTTTATGAGCAAGGAAGGGTCAAGGCTCACTGCCAAAAATGCATCAGTAAAAAATCCAACTGTTTAAAAATAACTTTGCCCAGCCAGGGATCGCATGGATGGTCATAGTAAGGAGGGGTATTAGTGGGTAACGTGTTCATCTGTGAAAGCAATATTAATGCTGAACACAATTTGGAGCAACACATACTGCATTTTAGGCATAGAATTTTTCAGGGACACCTATAATTATTTCAACATGACAGCACCAAGCCACATACTGCACATTCTACAACAGCATAGCTGCATAATCAGCGTCTGTGGCTGTGAGACTGGCCTGCCTGGAGTCCAGACCTGTCTCATATCGAAAAGGTGTGTCTTATTAAGCTCAAAATATGACAACAAAGGGACTGTACGATTGCACAGCTGAAGATATGCGTAACCGAGGAACGGCAAAAAATTTCATTTTCAAACCTGGATCAATTGGTGTCTTCAGCATCAAACGATTTTAAGTGTTGTTAAATATAAAGATGATGTAACACAGAGGTGAACATGCTCCAAACTTGTGTGGAACCTGTTGCTGGCATCACATTTAGAATGATTATATACTTCCAAACAACAATGAAGTTCATAAGGGAAAACATACAATATTGTGTTTTTATAATGTTTTCAATTTAATAAAGGTCAAACAGAATTTACTGCTTTCTGTTTTTATTGGCATTTCACATACTGTGCCAGCTTCTTTAAATCTGATTTGTACTATTTTAAATGTCATAGAAATTCTTTGTAATTCATTTTTTTAAACCACTTGAAAATGCCAGATGCCTTTTAAATTGTCTAAATGCTTCTTAACAAATGGACTAATAGAAATTAATCAGAATTCTGGTTATATTATTTGTGCATTAATTTTAACAACTCTTTTCACATTTACACATGGCACTGAATAAAAACAAACATGTGGGTGTGTGTCTGACCCCTCTGTGCTGTAGCGCTGCGGTGGTCTGGAGGAGGGGTAGATGGTGTCTTTCGGATGAGTGGCCCCTTCCATGTGCAGCCAGGCGGGGGGTGGGGTGGACAGCGGCCCCCAGTAACTGTCCTCACTGACCGAGCTCAGCAAGACCTCAGCAAGCTTCCTCGATACTCCCTGCACAATGACAGTGCGTATGTGTAAGAGAAAGGATAGGCCTCGTTTAAAGAAGAAAAGTATGCCTGTGTTTTCTATTATTGGAATCACTGTTTGACCCAATGACTTCTCACCTTCCGAAAGCTACGAGAGCCACGACTCTCCACCACTCTCATAACCCGACGCAACTGGTGAGTCCCCTGAGCCAAATGACTGACACATACACACAGACGGGAAGATTGAAAAGAGAGCGATATGAGGACAGAACAGGTTAAAATAGAACACTTCTCTAGTGAGTACAGAAGGAAAAGCTGAAAATAGCACCGATGACTTCAGTGTCTGATGTCAAGACAGGCCCTGTTGTGAAAGCTATGAATGAATCAGGGTTGAAATATTGATAAAGAGAAAAACTAGAGAGCTTTAACACTCTCTGGTGTCTCGCTGCGGTACAGCAAGCAACACACATGGCCAACTTAAGCCCTTTCAATGCCTTTAAAAGAGGAGCACTGACACCTGCTGGACAATATGAGACTATCCCAGGTCTAAGTGGAATGGCCATATTGGTTTAATTTTTTGGGTGACAATGCTTTGACCAGGCATGTCAAACTGGGGACCTTCCAGGCCAAAGTGCTGTGGAGATTAGTGTTTACCCTCATCTAACACTCTGGACTCAGTTCATGAAGGCCTTGCTAATTAGCTGATGAGCTGAATCAGGTGTGTTTAACGAGGCAGTGTGCTGAAGTCTGCAGTGTTTTGGCCCACCAGGACTGGAGCTTGACAAATGTGGCTTAGACCAAATTGGAGGGCCAGAATTGTTCAGCAAAAAAATCAAATTTTTATGTCTCAAATAGTCTTGCTTATGTAGTTGACAAAAACCATAAAAGAGCAGTAGCAGCCACCCAAATCTTGTGTGTTCTTTTGTCCATTTATATAGACAACAGTGTGTATTACAGTGTCAGAAACTACAAGCAAGTCTACTTAAAGGAATAATACAGCAATAAATGATATGTACGCAATTTTCTACTCATCCTACACGTAATCAATCAGCCAAGACATGTCTGGTGTCCAAAATTTGCTTTTTCAGTTTATAACTGAAGCTGTGAGGCTAACATTGCTAACAGGCTAGAACTCAGTAGTCACTCAGATGGCCCAAACTGTTTCCATAAAAATAGATTATCAAATGTTCTTTCATCAAGCTCTAAATTAGATTTGCACAGACTTGCTGATGTGGTTTAGGACACAGTATGACTTACTGTCAACTACAAAAATTAACAAAACCTCACAGTGAAGCTGAATGCTGTGGGTAGCCTTTTAAGACACAGGGTCTGTATTCACAAACCACCTTAGGAGTAGGAGTGCTGATCTAAAATCAGTTTTGTGACAATGAACATTACAAATATGGAGGAATCTGATCCAAGATCGATCCTCTAATTTACAACTGCTTTGTGAATACCAGCCCTGGCGTTGTATGAAATAGCTACCCATAGCTGTGAAGTTTTGTTCATTTTTAAATTATGTTAATTATAATTATGGTCTAATTTCTATGCACACTAAGACCTCTTGTGTCCTAAGACATTTTGACTAGTCTGTGCAACCTTATTTAAGATCTGGATGCTGTTTGAGCAAGATGAGAGAGGTTTTGGTCATGTATTTTTATGGAATGGATCTCGGCTGTTTTAGTTCCAGCATTGTCAGTGATGTTAGCCTTGCAGCTCCAGTTCTAAACAAATTAAGCAAATTTGGTCTCCAAACATCTCTCAGCTGATTAACTACATCTTGTGTAAGCAAACAATTGTGTACACTTGATTTTTTTGCTGCACTATTCCTTTAAAAGCTTTAAACTTTAAAGTGTGGCAGTTGTGTGACGGTTTATATACATGCAGTTTGCATAAATGCTAATTGGTGGACATATGTTTCCACTACTTGTTATAAGCATTAGCCTTGCCGCTCCAAACTATTCCTGCAGTGGTCACTAACCCTTCTCCTGGAGATGTACTATCCCCAAAATGTGGTTCCAACCTACATCTGACATGGTGCCCACCCTACTTTAATCTAACTCTAATGCATCTGATCCAGCCCATCAACAACTCCTGAACTATACTCTCCATGACGATAGGTCTCCAGGACCAGGGGTGGTAACTTCTGCTTTAAAGCATAGTAAGTTCAACCTGCCTAATGGTGCTGACAGTGAACACACTCACCCTTTGTGCAGTAGGCACAGGTATGCGCTCTGGAGAGCAGCCTGCAGGAAGTAGCCTGGGTCCACTTCTACTGGAGGAGATGACATGCTGCTTTTGGCTGTCTTGGCGCTTGGTGTGCTAACAGTCTATCACAGCAGCGAAACACAGAAATGCACTTAAAATAAATTTAACAAAAAATTACACAGAAGCCTCAACAACCAAATATAACATCACATATTTCAGTTTTTATTTGGTCCAGTCTTTTTTCCCTTTAATAGCTCCCATTCTTTTCGTGCTTTTTCCTTTAGTTTTTCAAAAAAATCTACAAGGATATTTTCTGTTTTTCATGATCTAAAAAAGCCCAAATACAAATTTAGGCTCATTAAACCATAAAATCTACTTTCACATGTTCAGTTTCAATACTGTAGTGTAAATGTTCTTCCTTTTCTTAGTAAAGGCTTCTCCACAGCTACACATCCTTTCAGACCCATAGTATTGAGTTGTCTTCTCAGAGTGGAAGGATGGACAGAAACATTTTTTTTTAGGTTTTTTCAGATCAAAAGCAAAAGCTTCTCCTCTCTCTCAAAGATAAAAGCTTTAAGTACTATTTATCTGACAGTGATAGTTTTGGAGGTATACTCCAGTTTTAGAAACTCTACGTTCCCCTTCTTAGCCACTCTGTTACTAGTTCACACGCCCCTTATGTGCTGATCAGGTGTGCTAAAGTAGAAGAATCACAGAGCATGGAGTGCCCTGGGGTTGGGAATCATTGCCCTAAATGAAATAAATAAATAGACAAACGAACAAAAAACTAATAAAAACTGAAGAATTTGGAGCAAATGTTGGAGAACGGATTCAGCGAATGTAATGGACGCACACAAAATTTGTAAAACACACACAGACCTTGTCTAGCTCTTGCAGGTAGAGCAGTGCAGTATCACAGGCCCGGAGATAACAGGACAAACACTCCTCCTCCCTCTCAGAGAGACGAACGCGTGAAGCAGCAGACACGGTCTGATGGTCCAGAGACAGACCTACACAGAACAAACACAGAATGCTGACACAGCATGCATCTACCACTGGAACTGATTATATCATTATGTATTCAGTAGAAAAGGAATGTGAAAACAAATGGGAGAAGTACAGACAAAGAGATAGAGTAACTATAATTGAGAGAGAAAGATAAGAAGTCTGACAAGATATGCCCTTTAACATTTGCATAACAATTGATAGGACTTTCCCACATCCTTCTAACCCAGGGACAGAGGGAGTCCAGACCTCCAGCAGATCTCTGGCATGGGAAGTTGCTGAAGTCATTAATACACAAATAAATCTGCAGTGGACCTCCTAGGCAGCAGGAAGGGAGGAGGAGAGCAGACGCCAGCCGTAATCAAATAAGGGAACAACCGCCAATACAGTGCAGACCACATGACAAACAGATAATTCAGCCGCACTTCCCCTCCATACCTCCTCTGCGTACCAGAGGCTATAAAACTGAGCACCAGAAACACCAGAAAGACCATCCACATGTTAGCGTCATAGGCAGTCTTGCAGCTCTTCACCACAGCTGGGAATAAAATATCCACCCACTCAAAGTTAGAATAAGATCTATTAGATAAAAAAGGGGAGCTACATTACTGATAAAAGCATATAGTTCCTCTGTACAGCCTACAGCACAACTTCCCAAAGTGGAGTGAGCGAGACTGTTTTATTTGCCTTGCCAGAAAGTTGCCCTAACTCCCTCATCCAATTAAAGAACAAATGCGTTTTGATACAATATCTTTTTTTAACTTATCATTTATATTGTGCCATTTAGTTTTGATGTACTTTTAAAATATTTTGTGTGAATTTCGAAAACAAAACAAAACAAAATAATATAATATATGAATCTATGCAATTGTCAATGACCACAATGCAGATTTTAAGAACATATGGTGTTGTCAAATTGGGTAGATTTCCACCAATTTGGGTGTTTTTTTGGGAAAAAAAGTTCTTTGGCAAATAGACAAAATTGATGCTGATTTTCCATGATTTTGGCGAGTTTTAAAATATCTATATAAAATTTATAACTTGCACTATATAATGATAAATAGCTGACATCTGAATGTCTTCCTACACCCAGTCATTCACAAAAACAATGATATACTTCATTCACTCCTGCTCAAAAGAGAGGCATTGCCATACCTAGCTGCAGCCTGCAGCCCACCTGAAGTCGCAACATCATTCTATGATCGACGTCATGTCCGGGTCTAAGCAGAATTCTCTAATATGTTTCTAATATGGCCATGATGCAGACTACAGAATGACACACAACTTCTGAGGGCTACTGCAGTCTCAATTTCAACACTAGTGAATGCTAACCTACTTAAGAATGCTAACTTGCACATGGTAGAAAATTAAGGATAATAAACGACAGTGACAACAGAAAACCGACAGACTCACTGGTCAGCCTAGCCAATCAGTGCACAAGAAGAGAAACAAAAGTAACCAAAGTAAGCAAACAACACTCTTAAGGCTAACAAGTTACTAGCAGCTCAACAGAGTGCAATGTGAACTAGCTATGTGATTTAACTTGATTTGCAACCCACCGATCTTTATTTGTACACTCTCATACAGAAATCTGATATATGGACACGTGCACATATATCATAAAGGGTCAGGCATGGATTTATAAATACATGGACATGTATTATATGTACATATAGTACCAACTGATATATATCTGATACATATGGCTTATACAAATACGTAAATAATTTTTTCAAGTAGGAGATCAAGATGAAACACACGGGCAACATACATGCAAAGAAAAACCTTATATTATATAACATGCAACTAGCATTTGGCTGCTGTCGGGACAAATCCTCATATCTCCAAAATGATAACTGTTTACGAGAAGGAAAAAACATGCTTCACTTTTAATGTAAGTCAATGGAACCAGAATTTTGGGCCATTTCTTTTGGTAAATTTAACATGAAATTTACATACAACGTAAAGAGCAACAGGAATTTTCAAATTATGTCAAAAACTGAGAAATGACAAAAAAGGGGATATGAGGTTTTGTTCTGACAGCAGCCATATCAGAGTAATATATGCTATCCATATAGGAACAGTGTTTTATCATATATTATTTAATATATATTTGTTACACATCTATGTTTATATATACCGATATATGATTGAATTATATGTCTCATATTTGAAAACGGCCAATTTCAAAAAAGTTGGCATATATATCACATATATGTCCGTATGTGACTAATATAAGTTTATATAAGTATAAGGGAAATTCATATATGGTAATATATATATCATATATATGTTCTTCAGAATCATTACACTTTTAACTTCCAAGATAAAAAGCTTGTACACTCCTGGCCTACAGCTACAGCGAGGACTTCATTTCCACAGAAAGATCTGAGTAAATCTAACTCATGCTGAGCGGCATCTGCTAAACCTACTGCTAGAGGACAGCTAACTAGCCTTGGCCAGAAGCTTCAGTGAAAATCTGGTTCCATGCCTCAACGTTGCCAGAGACACTATATGAGCAGATTACTCTAGTAACGATTTGGAGCTTGCGTTTTCATTGTCATGTGGCGATGACTGATACCTACCAGCAGCAAGTAGCCAGACACATGACACCACACTAGGAGAGCTTATAGTCATTACTCAGTAAGGTCATCAGTCTGGAAGTGCGTGCTGTTGTTTATTGGCTCAGGGGGCTCCAGACCACCAAGACCCGGCTGGTTTTGTAAGGTAAACCTCAGTCAATTGCTGGTTCTGGTTGCACGTACAGACAATACCACATGAGAGGATACAGAAAAAACGTCCTCATTGTGAATGAGGAACAGAACAGTTCCTTTTATTGAAGTACTCATTTACCAAATGCAGTTGCAGGCCACTGTGTGTGTACGCAGATAGAAGTGGGATAGAGAAGTCATCTGGCTATACACACAATTACAAGTGACCCGTGATAAACGTTCAAGTCACCTTCTCTTTAAAGGAACCCAGATCATGGAAAACCAAATTTTCTTCACTTTTTAAGAAAAAAGAGATTGATGTAGAATGTAAACATAGTTGAAGTTTCAAAATGAGCCATTCACTTGCCAGTCCATACAGTCCATATATGAAAACTAAGCTGTAAAAACAACCTGTTTTGAATTCTGTGTTTCTGTGATGTCACAAAAGCAATTCATTTACATATATATTTTCCACCTATTCAGCCCAAAGCCATCAAGCCTCACCTTACATATACATGTAAAAATGAATTAACAAAGAATTAATACATTATTATAGATATGAATCTTAGAAGGGGACCTCAAGGAAAGTGCAGGATATGGGCCCTTTAAATCTAAGATTCTGGGTAAACTATATATGGCTTCTTTTCTACAGACAGTGACGCCAGTCTCTATATTTTTAGCCATTCCTTCCTGTTCTCAGGGCTGTCCATTTTATTTTTGAGTAGTGATGTGAAGACAAAGCACATACACTTACACACAAACACACCCATGTGGAAGTTAATCACCACAAGACATTTTCATCTCAAATGTCCTGTCCTGTGGTGGTAAAAGGTCCATCTCCCATTCTGAATCCAGTGTGAGCATATCTGAGGCAGGCGTTAATCTGCGGAATGGAACAGCTCCAGAACCTCTGGAGAAACCTGCTCCACTGCATTTAAACAGCCCAAGCTGAGGAGTTTCAGGGACATATATGGAAATGTTGTTTCAGACTTATGAAAACTCCTACATAACGCTACAAACCCTCTGGTCATCCAAGTTTAGCCAGTCGAGGAGCAGCTAAACCGTCGACTCTGTTTATAAGAGTACTTTGCTGATTGGGAACTCTGCCATTTTGCGGACCTAATTAGTGCAAGATGGAATACCTCAGCAGCGCTGCCAAGTATCATCCCATCCAAACTGTGCTCCATTTTCTTTAATCACAAATACTACTGGTGGCAACTTGGATCAGGGCTTCTTTAAACATGCTCTGTGGACGGTGCCGTGATGTATGAGATGGCACAAGTACAAATAATCAAACACAACATGTAGCATTTCACTCATGAGTAGCTATGTGTTATTACACTTTATTAAAGGACTCTTATCCTACATTTTTCTTGTATTTTACAGTTTTGCTCCAGGTCCACTTATAACATTTTATGGTTCTATGTCCAAAAATGGTCATAATTAATTTTTACATGACCATTTTAAAGAACAAAGATTACTGTTGCGCTCCATAAAACATATAAAGTAGGTTACTGTAGGTGCATAAAAGCAAAAAAAAATCAGCAGTGCACCAGCAGTACATTTCTGTCATGCCTCCCTCCAGCCAGACTGAGACTACAGCCAACATGGCCACCTCAGAATACATTTCCAAGAACTCCTCGCTCTGTCGTGTGACTCAGGACTCTAACCAATCCACCTGTCATCGCTCAGCTTCTCCAGACTACTGATCATCCACACCTGTTCTTTGTTTCACCTGTTTGTTAGTTTAGTATATAAGCCCGGGTTTCAGCTTAGGTTTCTTGCGAAGTATCGCCACACTGTGTGCATACTGAGCGTTTCTCCTGGGACTGGTTTCCCGTGTATGATCCATTTTCTGTTTATGACTTTGATTCTGTCTGTACCTTTTAGCTCTGTGTTGATTTTCTGGCTTTTGATTTTCTGCTTTGGTTTATCGACTGTGATTTTGGACAACCCCTTTGGCATTAAAGATCTTAACCCAAGCCTCTGCTGCGAGTATCTGACTCCATCTGCCACTGGTACAATTTCCCACTCCTTTTTTTATACCATTTTCCAACCTCTTTTTAACCCTCAGAACTAAACAGGCTGATTATGTTACTGTGCCTGTCAATGACTTTTGACTGGCCACCATGTATTATGTGGTACTCAAAAGGCAGTTCAAGTTAACTTAAGTGTGAATAGGTGGAGCTAAACAGCCATAGGCTGAATAGGCTGGTCCTCGTGACATCACAGAAACAATTAATCCATTACGGGTTTTTCCAGTATGGTTTCCATATATGGACCATACGGACTGGGTAGTGAACGGTACGCGTTAAAATTTAATCCTTTTTACATGTCATTTCAAAAAGCAAAGCAAAGTTGGTTTTCCATGACATGACTCCTTAATCCTGTGATCTATCACTGCGGTAGGATTCCGTCTGACAGTGTTAGCAAAACCCGAGCCCTAAGTGCAAACTCATGAGTCATTTCTAAGTGATTTGTACCTTTGATGACGAAGGCCTCTGCCAGCAGGCGCAGATGGTAAACGGGCTGTTCATCGCGTGTGAATTCTTCAATGCCAGCTCGGGCACACATTCCCTGGGCGTCCCGGTAGCAACCCTGTACATAGTGTACTTTGGCCAGCAGGAGAAGAGCCTCATTCAGGTAATGTGGCTGTGAAGAAACAGACAAAGCATTGGACCAAGAGTGCCCGATTCTAGTCTTAGACTGTCGGAGTACAGCACAGTTTATATACTCCCTATTTATATGCTCAAGCATGAACTACCTACAGAGGTGAACTGTGTATGTTTGGATTAAGGATTTCCAGGACTGGAGCTGGACACTACTACTGTAGACAGTAGGGATGCACTAATATGGGGATTATGGGCTGATGCCAACATACAATGTTTTCCAAGTGCATATCTGCCAGATGAAGATACATAAACATTTATAAAATGTAGAAATCGTGACTAATCTCCTTGGATTAGCATTACAGAAAAATATAATATTTATTTCTGTAGGGTTGCAAATGCAGCAAAATGAACAAAAAGCAGATATTTCAGCACAGCAGCCGAGCGCCATCACCACGATTGGAAAACTCATGATTCTTGGATGATGTTTACTCACCTAAAAGGATGTTCCATTGATTTTTCAACATTTCTGCATATTTAAATGATTAAGACATAAACAAAGTCATTCAGAGTGGTTTGATGTGAAATGCTCTGTTCTAGAAGAACGTACCAACAAATAGTTCACAGCGGTAGTGATAAGAACCAGACGTCTGAACTATTTTTTCAGATTTTCCACTTTTTAAGAAGACACATGAAGGATCGCTGGTGGTGAATAAAACGGTTATATCCTCATTGTATATGTTGTGATCCCTGCTTCCAGTCACTACCACTGTAAAGAAATCAGAATCAGCACTTTTACCTATAATGAACCATTTCATTTCAAAACACTGAACTTTGTTTACATCTCAATGATTAAAGTATGCAGACATTTTCAAAAAGAACATCCCTTTAAACCAAATCTTGTCCCCAAGGGGCCGGTGTGGCAGCAGGTTTTCAATCCAACAAAGCAGGGGTCACCTGATCAGCAGTTTAAAGACTGAAACCAACTGATTAAACAAGTGGAATCAGGTGTGCTCCAGCTTGTTTTGAATGAAAAAAGACTACCACATACTGCTCAAGAAGCATTTTATACAATTTTTTTTGACTCATATAGAATCAATGAAATAAAACATATTTTTTCTGAATTATGTTTGGTATCCACAAACTAACTCTTTACGATCTCGTGTTCTGGCTAAAGGACACAACGTGAAATAACGTCTGCTTGTTGCGTCTAGTGTGCAGTAGCCTTAAGATCCTGTATAAAGGCCCATATTTCAGTTCCTCACTCTCATAACTACTTGATGTAAATATTCATTTCATACTAGTTACCAAATTATTCACAGTAGTCACTAAATAATAAGTATTAAGAATATTAACTGAACGATAGGCTTGAGATTCAAAGGGTTTAAGAACGATGCTCAAGCAGAGGCTTTACAAACCAAATTCAGTTGCCACAGCAGTAGCTGTTTGCTGCTTTAAAAAGCCTTCATGTGACTTGAACTAATGACACTAATGACACAAGTACGACCTGAGAGGTGGCCAAAAAACAACTTTAAGTGTGATTCACTACCACATTTCATGAAGCCTGCAATAAATGTTGTCCCACTGGTATGCTGTCCCAGTGAACAATGTCAGGGAATACATCTGAAGAGTGGCGAGCGTTTAAAGTTAAATGAAGATTGTTGAGTGAAACTTTGTTCATTTCAGAGATAGAAAGCAAGCATTATAACTGTAGTTAATATGTAATAACTGTAACTGTAATTGCACTCTGACAGTGTATGCCAGAGTATCAGAAATTCACACTACATGATCAGCACAAAGACAGTGTTGTCTGCAGCTCACCAGCACTTTAAGGACAAGGTAAGTTGGTGAGTAAAATACTGATTGAGTAAGTGCTAAATCATGTACATGTGAATCTAGCACAGCAGGTCTGTCTCTACTTTTAGCCCTACTCTGTACTTTTTATTCTTACAGCCAGAGTTCAAATTGTGGCAGAGGCTTTGGGGGGTCCCCTGGTGACTATGAGGTGACCTATATGCTGGTGGATACTATTTTCACAATATATTTTTGTTCAATTTATCTCTGTAGTTTTTTTACTAGTATTACTAGGCAGGAGTCTTTTTACTTTATATCTGTATCAATATAAATTCTTTTTACACATAGAATCAGACAAGGAGACACAACAAGCAGGTCTAACAGCCTTTCTTTTCTCCGTTAATTTTTTAAAATATATTATTTAGGCAGATTTAGTCAAAAAAAATCTGATAATATGTTGGTTGTTGTGCAAAATATCATATATGGTACTGCATAATGCCATAGGCTAGTGTTATTCATTGCATGTCGACTAGCAATGCATTGATACCATTTTTTTAGACTGAGTATGAGTACATGTTTTTAGTACTTGCCAATACCTGAACCATAATGATTACCCTACTTAGAATTGAGAAATTGTTAGTGTAAATGAGTGCAATGCTTTTTAACAGTTAAACCCATTAAAATCTACCTGATTAGTTAGCTATGTTACATTAGCTATCTTTGAGGAGCATTGCAGTTAAGAAGAACCTTCTGTACAGCTGTAAGTAAAGTATGTTTCATAGTTTTGATTCCATGTTTCTCAACTGTCTTGTTCAACAACACTCTCTATAGGATGATGACAGCAGGAATCACATCTGAAGCTAAAGCATCTGAAGAGCTCTCGTTTTGAGTTTTACATCTTTTGATTGGCTGCTTGAACTATAGTTGAATGTCCTTTAAGTCTAGCCAATGTGTGATTTTAGATATCTTGTTATCGGGTGACATTCCCACGGTACGTTTGAATCAACTGTTGTATATGGACAAAGCCTACAATTAATATGCTCACACTGTATCAAAACATTTGGTCTAATTGGCACGCTACATGAAGCACAGCCTCTACAGACAGCTCTGCTTATGAACAATTATCAATAAAAGTGTTCAATTCATGCAGTGTGTCCAAGTACTGCAAACACGTTGAAATATTGAGCAGCAGCAGCTTTGCTAACTTGTGCCAGACTATGCTCTGAAACTAAAAGCAGGCTATGATGTACATACGTAGGACAAATGGTCTCTCTTCAGCCCTTTTTTATAAAACAATTGTAAAAATTGACATATTAACGTTTATACCTTGCAATTCTATTGTCAAACAGAGTAAAGCTGGCATATTCTGTACCACAAATGCCGACTTATTTGCTTCCGTTTTGCTAGCCTATGTGTGTTCACCCATCTAGAGGAAGTGGTTGTGATTGTGTTTTGACTAATAACTTTGTGTCCAACCGCAACAGCATCATCAACACTTCGGTATACAAGCAGACCCTCATTCACTGCCAACAAGGTATCAGGTGATAGTGGATGATGGTATCAGTGTATTTTTATGAGTAAATGAGCATGGAATTGGGTCGATACCTGATATCTGTATCAATACATCCCAACTGCTGACTTAAGGTCAGCAATACCTAAAGTTTCTCAGCAGTTGGAGATTTTCTTGAGCTTTAAGCTTCTCCAGTTTTAGACTTAAGCAACACGTCTTTGTGCATTACACTGTACGGTTATATTAAGACTTTGGGCTGGGCAAGTTTGCAGTTTACCCAAGGGGAGGAATCTAATGTTGAACACAATGAAAACTAGTGTTCAACAGCCACCTTGTGTGAGGTCATTCATTTTGCCAGTTAATGTTAATTTTATTCAAGGAAATAAAACAGGACCCCTCCCTCCCAACCAATTTCAATTTTGCCTCTTATGGGATGTCTGGGAAAGTGAGGCTGCCGTATAGATGGTTCAAAGTACAACGGTTTTGCTTGTGGGAGCGGCAGCAGTGTACACCATTAATATGTGCATTGGGGTCAATCACAGGCAATAAAAAAGGCTGGGGTGTGGAAGGGATGGGCAGCTGGCTTGATGGTTTAGGTCTACTGTTAGGTAGAAGTATGGTCAACAGATTGTTTCCAAACAGATTCTGATCAATACACCACATAGGCTTTTATTCTTACAAAGAAAAGGTGCCCAGAAGGGTCCTTTAGAGCAATGCCATGGAAGAACTTTGTGTTCCTTAAACCTCCACATAATATAAAGGTTCTACACCAAAGCTTTTCCTAAAACTATACATCCAATACATCCAAGCCAACAACAATTAAGTTTAATATTTATTTATAAGAGAGTGATTTGTTTAACGTTTAGTTTTTGACCCATTTGATCCACGTTTGGGGAAAAAAAGATTTCATATCTTGTTCCCTTAGACATACGAACAGAAACGAGACGCACCTCCAGACGTCCTCTGCTCAGGAGGCTGTTGAGGTGGGCTTTGGCTTTGGCTAGTTTGGGCTGAGTTTGGTCAGACAGGGGCGTGGAGTTTTTCAGTAAAGTCACATTCTCCAGCAGACACTCCTCCAACAGAGCCTCAGCCAACAGCAATGTCCCATAGTCATCTTAACATGCCAGAGAGAGAGAAACAGTGAGAGAGACACGTGCAGTCTTAATCATTATGCTTCACTGAATTAAAAGGTGAAAATGGACAATCAGTCTCTATTCAAAATAACATCTTATACATACCTTAAAATAATAAGAGAGGAGTGTGTGCAAAGCGGCAATAATATAACATCACACTTACTTTATTTTCATGAAACACAATATGAATCACTGTATTTATTTTTCTGAGGTTTGTGAACAAGTTGGAATAAAATGCACCAGCAAAGCCGAACCACTTTTAAAAAAGGTTACAAGCAAACACCTGGTAAAACTAGATTAATAAATTAAGTTAATGACATTATGGGCTCACATTCAATCAGCTACTTTCTTAATATAGTCAGCTCCATAGTTTTGGCATTTTGGGGAGAAATGTGTAACTGCATGCAACATGCAGAAAAACATTTTGTAACGCCGGTTGAGCTTCGGACCCCTTCTCTAAGCGAATGAATCTGACAACAGTGAGCACACTGAAAGAGCATTCAAAGAGAACTCAGTCAAAACCTGGTGAGGAACGTGCCTTCTGATGATGTGAGTGAATTATCTACTATTGTCATCATATCTTCATCATTATAATGTTGATTTTGCATTTACATCTAATTAAACTTCGAGCCAGACCTTCTTTTTGACTGTGCATGTGGCATCAATATGTATGGTTCAAAAACTCCCGCAGAATCTGGTCTATCTGAATCTATGCGTCTGACTTTCAAATGACTATTTCAGGCTTTACAGGGAGACTCGCAACAGCACAAGGATAGACATTTTATCATGCTTATTTCCCCAGACTCAATAAAGTAACTTTTAAAAAAAATGTATTTTATTTTTTTAAATATTGCATAGTGCAACTTTAAAAACAAAGACATATTTCATGACAATTTTTATCCATGTTTACCAAGGGTGCCAATAATCACGGCATTGACTATGTAGTATATGCATTTACGATACACTAGTTGTTGTTTGCAAGCTCTCTATAATTGGTCTAAATCTGCCTTTTTAATGATACATCAATTGTTGCAGAAGCAGCGTTTTTCAGAAAAAAAAATATAGTGATGTAATTTATCATGAGAACAATTTCATCACCTCACCTCTAGGAGAGGTTTAAACGTTTTTTTAGTGTTGCTAGTGTTTCTATTTTTCTTGTTTACAGTGTTCCTTGTTTTCCTGTTTCACTGTTTCTAGTTAGTTCTTAGTTTTGACTTTGCCTGCTAGTCCCTCTGGTTTTCTGAGTATTGATTATCCCATATTAACCCTATCTGCCCGAGCCCTGACCTCTGCTATAAACTTTGAGCATGATTACTAGAAAAAGCCCAAAAAACTGACATTGGTACATGCCTTTACATTCACACACCAAAAAAGGTAAAATCCATTTAGTAATGTTTTTGATGTCTATTCACGCATTATTTTTCTAGACACTTGACATGAAACAGTACCTCCCTGTAATACAATGACATTTCAACAAGATAACCTGTTACACCTCTGCTATTTAGAGCTCTGTGTGGTCAACATCTGTGAGCATTTCAACATATCCAAGCCAAGAAAGCTAATTCCTGGGAGCTCTTGGGAGCGGATCTGGAATCAGAGAGATCTCGCAGAGAGATCAAGAGATGTTTGGCTACCTGCTTATGGTCATGCTGAACCTTATCACCTCTGATAGGAAACGCACTGGTCATCAGACTGCTATGCTTTTTTGAAGATAGCCGAGACCGAGATAGAACGGTAATGTTCTAATGGTGCTTAATGGCTTCGGTTGTGTTTGCGTTGGCATAAAAATGAGCTTGAACCAGAAGGCTCTGTAAAACGTTCTTTTTCCTTTCTTAGGTCTTTTGTATACACATTGCAGATGAAGTGTTTCCTGTTTGGTCCGAGCTTTCGCACTCCTCCTCTGAACTCCGCCTCGTCTGGAGGAGCAGACACCTCCGTGTGTTGTGCGTCAAGTTAATATCCACCATCTTGCACATTTTTCCATCTGTTACTTGACAGGCATAAAGAGCCAAATGTCTTGTTACTGATCTATAGCTACACAGAATAGCAGTGCAGCAATGGGAGTAGGTGTTCTCAATAGCCAGGCAGAGAAGTCTTGTGTACTGAGCCTCTTGAGTCAAACAGAAACAAAAAAAAGATTGTTCTTCAAGGGTTCTTCATTAAAGAAGATGGTACAACATAGAACCATGAACACTCAAAGAACCCTTTTCATGATTAAAGGGGATCCTTGCATCGTGAAAGCGTTCTTCAGATTGATAGAGAGGGTATTTTTGTTCTACATAGCACCAAAAAGGGTTCTTCTATTGTAACAAGCTTGACATCGTAACAATAGAAGAACCCTATTTGGTGCTATATAGAACCATATACAGCACATTTTCCATCAATCTGAAGAACAATTTCACTGTGCAAAGAACCATTTGATCATGCAAAGCGTTCTTTGAGTGTTAATGGTTCTACACAGAACCCTTTTTGAAAAGAGTTTCACTATTGTTTTAAGCCAAAGAACGCTTTTTGGTACTACACAGAATCCTCTTTGCTAAGAGTGTACCTCATTGGTCCCACAAAGGAACATAGACCGGAACTACGCCCTGTCCGAGAGCAGCTCAGCTTCACAAGCACTGCCTGGAACAGAAGGGATTTCAGTGTCTTGTTCAAGTGCAACCTGGAATACCTCAGCTGTGCAGGGATTTGAACCCACAAGCCATGGATGTCTGGCTCATCTCTCTGTGCTAAGGTTCAGTCCCACTCTGAGGGCTCTGGTGTGGACATAGTTGGCTGTTAGGGTTGCACCAGACTGTTTCAACACAGGCTTTTGAAATACTGATATTGCAGAACGCTTCAAGTTCCAAATCAGGCCTTCTTCCAATCAGTGTCTTTGACTGTGTGCTGCGAGCCTCTTGACCAATCACAGTTCCAGATGAGTGTTACCATCTAAAGAATTTAAATGCCTCTAAAAGTTCCCTCACAGAAAGTTACTACATGAAACGGTTATGAGTGCACTGCCTGATGCCGAAAACACTGTTTTATGATCATTTTAAGAAAACATTTTGGCCCTAAAATGTATTTTTAAAAAATATTCATAGAGGAGAAGTACATGTAGAGTCCTTGTTTCATTAGAAACAGTTTCATTACATGAAACAAGGTTTCTGCAGTCAAAAGTAATAAATCAAAATATGTTGCTATATTTCATATTGCAATATACAGCATATCCGAAATCATCGGAATTGTGATTTTTGGTATGTTTTTAGTTATTGTTTTATTTTTACTATTCTGTTTTTATTTATTTTAATATTGTCAAACTATGGTTTTACATCTTTTATGTCTTTATTTATTTCGCTAATTATATGTTTTATTTACCTTTATTTTATCTTGTTTATTAAGTTACTATATACTTGTAATTTTAATGGTTTATTGATTTAACCTTCTTAATTTACTACAATGATTATTATTACTTTTTAGCATTTATTATGTTTTTACTACTTAACTTCTCATCCCTGATCTCTGTATTGGCCTCAGCTACACTGTAAATGAGGGTCTCCCTCAATGTACTCCGAGTTTAAATAAAGATTGATTGAATAGTCATGATGTAGTCATGTAATCACATTATTAGTATTTTGTCTGTATGGCTGTAAACCTAAAGCAAGTCAGATTACGCACAGTAAATGACTTACAACTTCCCAAATGCACTGGAAAGCAACTACAATAAAATGAAAAATGAGCATGCTTTCTTTGTCTTTTGGAATAACATATTAATGACTAAACATGCTTATTTGGTCAATATTTGTGACAATGCATAAAAAAATGCTGTAACTGCTGCATACACTAATGACTGTGTTTATAACTGCAAAGCAAAGTTATTTGTTTTAGGCATAAGCACAGATATTTAGCTGTGATATTGTTTTTGTCAAAATAACCCTGCTTCGTGTTTATGCTGAGAATATGAAAACAAGCTCATTTGTTTAAATCATGTTTTGAAACTTTGGGGACACCTAAAGTTTCAAAAAGTGCTTTCAACAAATGAGCGTGTTTTCATTTTGATTATGGCTGGAAATGTACGAGAACATCACAGCAGTATTGCAGTGGGTCAGGAGACGCATCTTGAGGCAAAATCTTGTGTACTGTGGCCTTTCCACTTTCAGAAACTTTGTATTGTTTGGATTAACAACAGGTTCCACACTGCTGAGGGTAGTCACTTGACCCTTATTTACTTTAGCAGGGCTGGTGGTTTCTGTGTGTGTGTGTGTGTGTGTGTGAACATTTCAGGAGTGTGTTCAGCACCCTGTCATGTGTCTGGCAGATCAATCTGCTAACGACACACCGTACCTAAAGCAAAAGTCACCAGTTTAAGCCATTATGTCATTCACGAGTGACAAACAGCCGGCTAGTGCAATGTTGACAACTCAAACTTATGTGTAATCAGACTGACAAGTGGGAGCAGCCGCCTGTGACAGGAGTACAAAGTTCACACGTTAACACCATCCATTCCAGGGGAGTGAAGAGTGAAAAGGCACAGCAGCAGCAGTGCTGACAGAGCGTACATGTAAACTCACCTTGTTCATGCAGCCGAGCTGCTGCCAGCTGCTCCAGCAGAGGTGGGATCTTATCCCACTGGCACTCAGCACGGCAGCGCTCAATCTCCGCCTCCAGTCGGTACTGAGAGAAAGAAATCCTGGACGACATCCCGGCTATGTCTCTGTGTCCGTAGTCTCCTGACACCAGTGGAGTGACTGCACACTGCCAGGAGGGAGGGAGAGAGAGAGAGAGAGAGAGAGAGAGAGAGAGAGAGAGAGAGAGCACTGAGCATGTGCACACTGCTGGATGCAGCTGTACAAAACTTCAAGGCACTGCTGGTTTTCAGAGTTGTTTGATGACTCAGTGGTGGATTGTGACTCCTGCTGGTTGTAGCCTAAACTCTGAGAAACATGAGCCCCTTCGAGAGGTCGATAAAAATGTCATACAGGATAAACAGCCTTTTTCATTATCTTATAAATGAAGCATTGAGGCATCATGTGTTCCATTATTTACATTTCTAACTCACCCTAATGATATTTTTTATGTGACAATAAAAATGAATGGATACTTTTAATATTTATATATACTTTTTGTAATTTTTTGAAAGCAAAGCCATCGGTCATGTTCATTCTCATAAAATATTCCGAAATTCTACTAATATCATGATTAGCATAAACAATATTTTAAAACATATACAGCTCATTCTTTAACAAAGCGGGTAAGCATTATAATTTATGGTGGGGCAAACTAGGAAAAACGAGCAAAGAAACAAAGAAAGGAACTACAAGAGACTATGTAAGAGGTCTAATGTCCTTCCTATTAAAGGGCCCACATCACAGAAAATTAAGTTCCCTCACTTTTTTTTAAATAAAGGAGTTTGAAGTAATATGTAAACATTATTAAACTTTCTAAATGCACCATTCACTAACCGGTCAGCACACTAGGCTGCAAAACAGCTTGTTTTTTCAGATTTACCACTATTTCACATTATCAGCATTATATGTAAAAGTTCAAAAGGGAGGTATAGGTTCACTGGTCACTTTGGATAATAAATAAAATAGCTATATTTGTGAATATTGTAACTCCACCACCACTGTAAATCTGAGTTGGTAAGATTCTCCACTTCACATCTGACCACACTGAATGACTTTGTACTGTTTACATCTTGTGTCGAATTATGTAGAAATTTTGATAAATCAGTGAAATTGCCCTTTAAGGGAAAAATTAAATAGAAGAAAATGCAGGATATGGGCCCTTTAAAGATAAATGAAATATAGGTCTGGGAATGCTGAAGGAAAGCCAGATTGCCACAGTGTGTCCTTACGGACAAGCTTTCCATTGGTTTGTTAACTAGCTCAATTACAGGGCTTACAGTAATTACATTAACAGCGCAGGAGAACAGCAGAGCTCAGGGAGCACCACACCGCCAGAACACAGAGGGAACACTGCTATGACTGGATGTGGTAACTTTGTGTCTCTTTTAAAACACCTACAAACGTCTGCTTACAAAAAAAACTGAATTCCCTCTGGACTGTAAAACACACGGTGTAGTGTCCGACTCTCCATCATGAGGGGCCACAAAACTTTTTTTTTTTGAAAGCAAAGCCATCAGTCATGTTCATCCTCATAAGATATTCCAATATTCTGCTAATATAACGATTAGCATAAACAATATTTTTAAAATATACAGCTCATTCTTTAAAAAAGCAGGTAAGCATTATAATTTATGGTGGGGCAAACTAGGAAAAACGAGCAAAGAAACATAGAAAGGAACTACTAGACAAGGTCTAATGTCCTTCCTATTAAAGGGCCCATATCACAGTTCCTTCACTTTACTTCACTAAATAAAGGAGTTTGAAGTAATATGTAAACATTATTAAACTTTCTAACCATTCACTAACCGGTCTATACATTCAGACTCACTAATGTGATATTAGCGCCATCTTATGGACAAACGGAGAACAATTTCTTTCTTGAATTTCAAACATTTCACAGCTTTATAAGACTGCAAAATGGGTCACAACTGAGTTTTCAATTATATTTCGATATATATCTAGACAGCCTAATGTGGTAAAAGAATAAATACAGGTATATTTAATACGAATAGCAGTACAGACTAAAATAAAGGTAATTTGGGCTGAATTGTTAGACCAAACAGCTCAAACTACTTTATTATTCATGACCACAAAACACAACGCAGAACTAACGTTAGCTACATTAGAGGCCAATAACACCAGACTACGGTTAGGTCAGCTAACACAACACTATGTCAGACTACAGCCTACAAGTTTCTACTGCAGTGCACAGAAACACTGTAAACTGAACCTCCAGCCGCCGGAAAATAGATTTCGCAGTCTCATTTTCTTTGCAAAGGTTCGCCATTTGGTCGAGTGGACAGGTTACTGACCGACTGAATCTACAGTGGACATGACTGAGGAGAATATTAGCAGGTACACAAGCAGTCCTCCCTCACTTTCCCACAGCCCGGATTATGAAGCTCCGGGAGGACTGAGCTCAGGCTTTAGTGACGCAGGATCAACAGCCAATCACATTTGAGCTGTGGTATCCAATCAAACATCCAATCAAATGTTTGCGCGTGCATAAACGTTATCAACATACAATCAAACAGTACACAGCATCAAATGCAAATCAAGAAAAAATAACGCAGCAGTGCAGACATACATTAATAAATATGCAAGACTTCATACACGTTATTACATAAATACATTTATCAATGCTTTTACAGTTTTAATGGCTTTTTATTTTAAAACAGGCCTGAATTAATTCAATAAAATGTTCCATCTTATTTCCAAAGACAACACAAATGACCTTTTGCCTGGGAATTTACATTCAAACACCAAATAATGCATATTTCCATAATAAACAATCATTTTCATCAGTGTAATAAATAATATAGGAATCGAGGCTTTGACAACACTTTTCACTTATCGACATTTAGCGAACTGCGTGAGAAAATAACAGCAGCCAACTTAGGAAGCTAAAGCCACTCACCTGTTTATGTACATGTGAAAAAGCAGTGGCAAGCTCAGGGCCATCCAGCAGGTTGTTGGGAATTATGCAAATAAGGGAATAACAGTCTCTGAGAGTTTACCGCAATAAGGTACAAGTTGTGACAAAGTCATCTTTACATTTTATAAAATTGTTTTTAGCTGGGCAGATTTAATGAATAAGTTGTTTAGCTGTTGGATCACCAGCATTCAGTCAGAGTTTGGTTCTCTGATTAGCGACTTTCAATCAGAACTATGATTTTTTACACTCGATCAGAATTTAGCAGCGCGTTACCAACAACCAATCACATTTCAGTATCCGCGTTACCAACAGCCAATCACATTTCAGTATCCGCCTTACCAACAGCCAATCGCTTTTCAGTATCTACGTTATCAACGGCCAATCACATCAAAGATTTTATATTCAGACCAATCACATTTTAATTGTCGCAAAACCAACAACCAATCACATTTTAGCTGTTGTATTTAGACCAGCCAATCACAATTTAGTATCCGCTTTACCAACAGCCAATCACATTTCGCTGTCATTGTCGCTTTACCGACAGCCAATCACATTTCAGTATCCGCATTACCAACAGCCAATCGCATTTCAGTATCTGCTTTACCAACAGCCAATCACATCAAAGTTTTTATATTCAGACCAATCACACTGTAGTTGTCGCTACACCGACAGCCAATCACGTTTTAGTTGTCGTATTGAGAACAGCCAATCACATTTCGCTGTCGTGTCAATAGGGTGAAAGGCCGCTACGGCGAGCGAAGTGGGCCAGAAGTGACTGAGTCCCTGCTGGAGTTTGTTGTCTGCGGTTCTGTTTGAGGGAACAACAACAACAACAACAACATCCCGTATAAATCGAAATTCAGAGCAGGTGAGGAGACCCGAGCTGCCGCTGCCGCTGCGGACAAGAACGAAACAACAGAATGATGTGGAGCAGAAAAGCCTGAAAGGAAACTAAACTAATGATGCTAATGATGTAATGGATAGCAGGGCTGAAGTTGCTCTGCAGTGACTGAGTTAATCTGAACCACAACACACTGTTTAATTTAAGAAAACACGGTGAAGTGGTTTAAAGGACCGGCTGAGGTTCGGTTGTGAAAGACTGATTTTACTGTCGCTCTGTGCTGCTGTCTGTCTGTCTGTCTGTCTCTCTCTGTCGAGCTGCAATGTGTTTCTCTTTTGTTGGAGATGTTATTTTATCCTGTCTGTCATTGTTTATAACATTTCCACACGTTAGACCTGCTGAGGCTCCAGAATGTAACTTAACTGCTGCACCATTTTAAGGTCGAACGGGGAAATTAGAAGAAGAAGAGCCGAAACTTAGAGAACATGCAGAACCAGTGAGTCTTGTTCTAATTTCCCCGTTCCACCTTAAATGATGTCCGCTGTACCAAACCTCAAACCTGCCCAAACTGCTTTTCAGCAGCTGAGCGGAACAAGATTGTGTTCCTCACACTTTCGACTTTATTTGTCACGTTAGGATGTTTTATATTGATTTTTGATTTTTGTTTATTTTCCCAAACCGCAAAACTCATGCAGTATATACATGTAAGAGCTGTGATTTGATTAATAAAATCACTGAAATCACTGCATCAGATATCAGTTCACAACCTGTCACTGATACACCAATCTGGATCTGTATGTTTCCTTTGAAGATCCTAAAGGGGAATTCCACCGTATTCTCAAAAGTTCCACATAATTCAGCTTTTAAGATGTAAAAGTCTTTCAGTGGTTTGATGTGAAATGATTGACTGTAAAGAAACTTTTACTGTTATTTTTCTTTACAGTGATAGAAACCAGGGGCTCTGATGTCTACAATGCAAATATACCCATTTTATTTACTTTCCAAAATGTCCAGTTTTTGTTGCACTGTTAATAGTCGTACAAATTGACAAAACAAGTTTTGTTTAGGTACCGTTTTACCTCTCTGCTATGGATGGATGTTTTTGTTTTTTTTTAAATGTATGCTTTAGGCCAAAATTTTATCTCAAAACTATCAGAAAACAACGTCTCAGGTGTTAGACAGTGTATTTTTGAGGTAGCTTACAGAGGCATCCAACACTTCAGATGTCTGGCTTCTGTCACCACCATTGTGAACAGTTCTCAATCTGTAAGTTAGTCTAGAAAAGAAAATTTCACAGCAAACCACTCTGAATGAGTTTGGTAACACCATAGTAACTTGAATTATGCATAAATGTTAAAAAAAATCAGTGGAATTCCCATTTAATGCTAGCATTTCTTTTCTCAGCACTGTATAATGCGGTATAGAGGAAGGCTTGGGCAGCCCAGGATATGGGGCTGGTTACTGCTGTTGTCCTGCTGCCTGCTTGGTGTCCAGTCACACGGGGGCCAGCATGAGCAAGCTGGGTCACCACAAGCAGGAGAAGCCTACCCTCCCATCACCCGCCTGGACAGGAACATGGTCCAGGACAAAGAGTGAGTACACTGAATGGCATTTCCTTTGTCTCTAATGTGATTCAGCTAACTAACTTAACTGAAACTGAAACTGTATGCGAGTGTGTTTTAGAGCACGACCAGAAGTCTTTAATCTCATGCTGTGTTTGTTCTTCATGTCCCATGTATTCTGTTTGGAAAGAAAACTGAACTTTGATACCTTTCCAAATGCACCTGCTGCCAAATACGAAATCTAAAGATAGCCTCAAAGGGGAATTCCACCAGATTTTCAAAATTTTTTGCATTAATCAATTGTTAAGATGTGAGCAAAGAAATCGAGAATGAGTTGAGGTGAAATGCTGCATTATAGAGAAACATATCAGCTCAGTATTGTTCACAGTGGTAGTGATAGGAACCAGACATCTGAACAATTTAATGCCTCTAAAAGTTACCTCCCATAAAGCTATTGCATGAAGTTGTTGTGAATATGCTGCTGATTTTAGCTTAAACATATTTTTAAAAGCCACTGATGGTAGAGAGGTGCATGCAGGACACCAAGAGGCAAAATAATACCCCAAAGAAATTTTTTTTTTCTTCAGATTTACCACTATTTTGCTGTTATCAATATTATATATAAAAACTCAGAAGACGTGTAAGTGGTTTTGGATAGTAAATAAAGTGGCTTTTTATTACATTACATTTATTGTTCTATTGTTATATTGTAATCCCTGGTTCATATCACCACTGTAGAGAAAGTTGGTAAGGTTCTCTACAGTGAACCCTTCCACATCAAACCAACTTTGTTCACATCTCCACTATTGAATTATGCATAAAATTGTTATTCCCCTTTAACAGTACACCTAGGCCTATATTTACCAAACAACTCAGAGTAGGATCACTGTTCTGAGAGCAGTTTTCAGCAGTTGTGTCATTCTGTTTACATGCGTTCTGTTATGTAAATTCATAAACCGATGCCGATGCTCTCCCTTCAAGCCACATCATGGAACATTTGGAAGGGGTCATTGAGAAGCCAGAGGCAGACATGACCCCACAAGAACTGCAGCTTCATTATTTCAAAATGCATGACTACGATGGCAACAACCTGCTGGATGGGCTTGAGCTTGCCACTGCCATTACACATGTACATAAAGAGGTGGGTGGCTTCATATCATTTAGCTGATCTAGGTTTGGAGACCTTTTAATCAGGTAAAGCGATGCATCAGTTATTGCGGATACAAGCTGCTAAACTTGACAAATGAAATTCTTATGTTGTTATTTTGTCCTATTCTTATATTTGTTTTAGATTGAATGAGCCCATTATGTGATAATAATAATGTTGCCTGATTACTTAATTATACTGTGGCACATTTCATTTCAGAAGTGTTTGTCAACATGTTTGTATCATTAATGGCATCCTGAAAGGGAGTGTGACTTGAAAGTGAGGAACAGCCTGGAAAAGCGAGTATGAATCAATAAGAGTAAACACATTTTCATAGACTAGTTCTCTTTTTGTGCCTTATACCAAGCACTGAAAGGTATCGAGAGTTCATAGGTTCAGCAGATACATCAATCGTGGGACGCATAATATGATGAAACATGGGATGCATAAAAGAAGAGGAAAGGGAGAGAGGGACAGAAATAAACAACGAGAGGGGAAAAAAACAACCTTCAAACATTATAATTAAAGTTATATAACGAGTGGCATATGATTTCACTTTTAAACATGACTCATGTCTGTTGATGCGTCATTTTTGGTTTGCAGGAAAAAGGCGAGAACAGCCAGCCAATGAAAGAGGAAGAGCTCATCCGCCTCATCGATGAGGTCCTCAGAGATGATGACAAAAACAACGACGGTTACATCGACTATGCCGAGTTCGCGAGGTCCCTCGAATAAAGCGCAGAGTGCCTACTGCCTTACTGTGAGATCCGTTTACCTCTGATTTACGAATGGAATACTGTCAGTTATTTGTGCTTATGCGTTTCACATTTGCAAGCCTGCACTGTTGCTCAGATCGAGCCCTGGAGGCCCACAGACTTGCACGGGTTAGTCTTTCACCTGTCCCAACTCATGCACTTGAGCTCATGAAGCACTTCATAGTGATCCAACAGTAAACTGTGCGAGGGTGTGATCCTCCAGGCCTGAATCTGAGCAGCCTGGGGCTACCTACTGTCCATACTTCAGCCCATCAGTATCAAGACTGATTGGGAAGAAATGATACGGGTTGTATTGTGACACACGTGTGTGTGTGTGTGTGTTAAAGACACAGTGCATTGCAGTCAGTACAATGTTTTTGTAACATCAAGTATACCCTTTTTGTCGCCCCCTAATGCATAAACTGCCAAACATGTCTGCCTGTAAACAAACATCCTTCATTATATTGCTGTAGTGTGTTTTGCAGCAATGTTCTCATGTAAAACAATAGGAAAATTTGGCATCTGTGGTTGACAAAGATATGATTCTGCCTTACAGAGAACTTGTTGATGTAGGTAGAAAGTTACTCATTTTACCAGCTTGGTTTAAGATCAGTTTATACATTCCTGGAATTTGTCTAGTGTTTGACTTTCGGTATAAGATGCTGATTATAGATGGACCCATGTGGGTAACTTCTGCCTATTTTCAGTATACTGTTAACTGTGTATTGTGCCTAAGAGAGTTCACTGTTCTGATAAAGTCCTCATGTTTTATCCTGACTTCACTGTGGTTAACCACTGGCTGACATTGGTTAAGTGTTCTCTGTTTGATGTATGCTTGGTTATCATACTTATCACATTTCTCAGCTGAGTGCTAATCTGGGATCAGCACTTGTCTTTGGTTTGAGGCCCTTGATAAGTGTATACATGTTCTAACTAAATTTGCCTACCCTGGTGGTCTGGGCATTGTGTCCCACACCAGTCAAGAGGAGTCTTTCTCAGTCTTGGTGCTGCTGCATGCTGAAGTGATTATTTACACTGCAAAAAGATATCTTGGAAAGAGAAATACTCTTAAATATAGGCAATAAATCTAATGATTCTCATTATGAGACTGGTGTAAGTATGTTGTAAGGTCATTCAACCTGTTTTTAAACATTTTTACTTATGTAAAGTGAAATTTGTCTTACAACACTCGCAGGTAATTGTGTTTGAAACAACTGCTTAAAGGAAATAAGTTGAATAATCTTGTAATGTTCTTAGAACAATCTCATATTGATGTATATTATATGTATTGCCTGCATTTATGCTTTCACTTGCTACGATGTACCAACTTTTTGCATATCGTCTAATGCATCAGACCCTAAGATTAGGCTTGTGAGAGCACTGAGAACTTGTGTAGCTCAGCAGATTCCCAGAACTAGGACTAGGAAATGTGAACACAGGATTTTACCCTCTAATAATGACCAGCTATGGGTGATGAAGGGACATTTTATAGGCTGCTTGATCTTTCATTTTCATCAGAGGTCGAATGTAGGCCAAGACTGTCATTGTTCAGTTGTTACCTGATCTAAGCTTGACTTGCTGAAAACACAGGCTAATTTATTTCTAATTATTTGTCATTTCATGTTAAATATGAAAGATTTGTATTTAATAATGTACATGTCTTATCATTTTTGAAATCTAGTTATCTATGAACCCATATATTCTTCTTACAGATTCCTAATGTAAAGGAAGCCCTGTGAGGCTCATCTGTTAAAACAGGACATTCAGAATGTAAACCGGACTCTGTAAAGATGTTGTGTATTCACAGTGTGATGCTCATGGATTTGTGGATGAAGTAAAAATATAAATGGATTATTTTTGTGTTAGAAAAGTATAGCAATAATTTAGAGAACATCTTGTGTTTTGCAAACTGTAATAAAAAGTTGAAAAAAGGTTTGACTTTGTTTTATGAAACAGAAGGAATTACATTTGAAAGCAAAGTACCGACACCAATTTTAAAATATCACAGCTGTTTGTAGGCTGCATGCATGTAATATCACCAACATGTGGGAAACACACTTAAGAAGTCTTCTTAAGTAGACTGTTCACAATCAAATCAGCTCATAAGGCCCAGATAAACTAAAAACAGCGGGATGGCTGAGGCACATTTATGGGCTGCCAGGCTGCTTTTGAAGCCTCTCGTTCAGTATGTGCACCAAGTTGAAGTGGCACAAATCAGATTTTTTGCCTAAATGTGAAAAATGATCAGGGGCCTCATTTATGTTCATCTGCACAAATCCACTCTTAAAATAATTCTGAATGAAATTTGATGAATTTGATGTCAAGTGGATTAACTCGTTTCCAATGTGACGTGTACGGTAGTGCCAGTGTGCTACAGGCATTCCAGAGTGCAATTAGTGAATGTATAATTATGCAGACATAAATCAGTCGTACACAAACGCTGACAACTTATCTTAAAATTAATTCCAACGATTTTTCGAACTTTCTGCATGATTAAATCATTAAGTCATTCAGAGTGGTTTGATGTGAAATCCCCCGTTCTAAAGAAACTTACGGACACAGACTTGTTCACAGTGGTGGTGATAGGAACCAGACGTCCGAAGTGTTTAATGCTGAAAGCAACATTACAGAAGGTTATTTACATGAAATGGTAACACATTTGCTGTTTGATGGCTGAGACATTGTTTTATGTCAGTTTTGAGAGAAAGTTTTGGCCTAAAATGTATTTTTAAGCTCTGTACATGGTGGAAAAGTGCATGTTTGGGTGTTGTAAGGAACGTAGTACCCAAAGAAAACTTATTTGTTGATTTACTAATATTTTACTGTTATCAGTATTACATATACAGACTAGAAATATAGAAAATAAAATATAGAAGATACATGTAGGTTCACAGGTCTTTTTGAATGGCAAATATAATGTCTGCATTTGTGTTGTAGACATTGTGACCCCTGGTTCCTATCAGCACCACTATAAAGAACACCAAGTTTCTGTACAATGAACCATTTCATATCAAACCCAGTCAGAGTATCTCAATTATTGAATTAAGCAGACATTTTGAAAAATCAGTGGATTTCATCTTTCAGAACAAATTTAGAATGAAATTTCACATTTCACAGCAGTGTGAATTGGGAAATTGGATCTCTCCAAATCGGATTTGAGCCACTTTCATATGCTGGCCTGTTTGTTATTTGACAGTTCACCCGACGACAACATTCATGTTGGAATATTTTTTTTTTCTCTGTCCAGAATGCATATGCACATCACTATGGTCAATATCTAGTGTTGGTGCCAGCTAACTTGAGATGAAATGTATGTGTGAAGGCCCAAACTAATGTATTCACACTAATGACAGACATATGTCACAAACACAAACAAAAGCTGTCTAGATGGAAAGACTGGGTCTGAGCAATAAGTCTCATAATAAGAACGCAGCTTTCTCTCTCAGTCTGCTTTAGTTCCAGTGAGCGGCTGGCTCCAGCGCTGACATAGAGGTCAGGGAGAACACTGAGGCATGGGGCAGGTTGGTGCCTGGAGCTCCAATGCTGCACAGCTGGCTGTACCAGTCCTCATGCTGCCTGGCGGGCTGTGCTGGAGTGGGCGCTGAAGGGCAGGCCAGCTGAGTGGCTGCTCCTGTGTGGGGGGAGTAACCACCAGAGGGCAGCATTGAGGAGAATCTGGGGATGTGGGGCAGGGAGTGAGGACACTGGTACTGCCTTGCCGCGCCTGCAGGGGTCACACGAACGCTGCCCAAAAGAGCTGCGCGTCCTGGCAGCACACCTACTGGCAGCACTTTCTGGGTGGCACGCTCTTGCTTCCGCTGCTTGGCACGTCGGTTCTGGAACCAAACCTGAGACGGCAGAACGAGGACATTGGGGGCATCAACTTAAGACAACATGTGATTTTACAAAAGACCTTTTAACCCCTTATAAAGACACCAGGTCCATGAATAATAATCTTTAGGATGTGGACATCTGTGAAGAGCTTAAACAGGTCACTCAAAAATGAGTAATTAAGAAATAAATACATTTGCCAAAAAGTATATTTTGCATACACACTCACCACCACTTTATTTTGTTCCACTTCCTTTTATTACTTTATGAGGTCCACATACAGTACTGTGAAAACGTCAGAGACCACCCTTCGTTTATTTAATGTCCATTCAAAGTGGCCATTAAATACATCTTGTTCATTTTTCAGTATCAAGAAAAACAGCAGAATATATAACAACAAAAATGTATAACAGCTAACATTACACAAAACTAATATTTGTCTTTATTACAGCTTTAGTCCTTTTCAGGAGACTTGCTTTCAGTTTTTTAAACAAATGCAGAGATATCTTTCCACACCTCCAAAGTTCAGTCTTAGAAGTTGGTTGCATTTTCTGCTTCTGATGATCTACGTAATCTCAAACACATTGATAGTGTTGAGTTGTCATGTCAAAGTGGAAGTATGGAAAGAAACACCTGTGGATTCTTCAGATCTGAAGCAGAAGTGGCTTGATTTTCTCCTCTCTCTCAAAGATGAAAGGTTTAAGTGCTGCTTATCTGATGGGGACAGTTTTAGAGGCCTACCTAGTCTTGAGCAGTTCTTAGGAGTCCCATTGTCTCTGTATATTTAAATTATTTTTAACTCTGGTGGGCTATTTTATATCTAATCTCCTCAGAAATGTCTCCTGAAGAATAAATAACTTGTACTTAATAGACATTTTGACTGGAAATTAAACAAATAAAGGTGTTCCTTGACTTTTCCGCAGCACTGAACCTTATAGATGCCCTATATAGGGGTACAACTACAAATTTCCCAGCCACCTTATACCAAATTAATCACTGGTCCGTTTTTATCCACGGCAACTGACCAGATATTTGTTTGGGTGGTGGACTGTTTTCAACACATTGTCACTCATCACTGACATTGATATGGTAGTATGTGTGGAGCTGGTATGATGTGTCAGGCACAAAGGTGTTGTTGGGGTATTAGACACGTCGGTGTCACTGCTGGGTTAAGAGTGGTCCAACACTTAAAAATACCAAGCCGAGAGCAGCTCTGTGATCAGAGACTGACCGCTGGTGAATGGCTACAAGATAGATAACAGACTTGGCTACTCATGGCTTATTGCCTGTATACACCAGCTAGGTGGACATAGTGTTTCTAATAAAATGGCCAGCGAATGTGTTGTTCTATGATGCTGAAAACACAGCAAATACATTTGATGTGAGAAAATATTGTAGATGAGACTCAGTATTCAAAAAGAAGATGATGTTTCATGTTGTAAAAAAGCTCTGACCTGTATGCGGGCCTCATTCAGTTTGGTGGCCTGAGCCAGTTCCTCTCGGTAATAGATGTCAGGATAGTGGTTGTGTCTGAAGGCTAACTCCAGCTGCTCCAGCTGTTCAGGGCTAAAGGTGGTGCGGTGTCTCCTGCGGGACGGCGATGGGTGGGGTCTCGCTCGCCTCACCCCGTCCCCACTGCTCTCAGGCCCCGTGGACTCTTTCCTGGTAGGAGCCTGAACATCTGTACTCAGAGAGGTAAATAGAGGAGATTGGACTTGATTGGAAAAGTGAACCTTTGCGTGACTCCAAGAAAAGAAAGAAAGAATCTGTGTACATGCTTCTCTCTGGTTACAAGTAATTTCCCACCGACAGAGAGTTTTATCAACTGTGGCCACATCGGCGGAGTTCGCTTGGCAAGAATGCATCTCACAAATGGCATCTCTCTGAAGGGGAAGGGTTTAAGAGCCTTACACTAGTGAACAAAAGGCTGGGAACTCAATAGGCTGTGGGCTTTACTGCCTAAACTCAATATCGTGAGAGAGAGATACCAGAGGCCAAAGGATTGAGGCAAGATTAGGCGAACAAAAGTCAAAAAAAAGCGACTAATTTGTCAAATCACTGGACTTGGCTTTTTCACAAGGTTGGTGTGGAGGGCAGAGGGAGAGTTAAGTGAAGTTACTTTTTTGCTTGTTGTGAAAACAAGCAAGCAAATGCGCGAAAGGTGAATTACAGTGTAAATAAAGCGTTTCCACCATGGATTTTATAATGTCCTAAAGTATCTAGACAATCCTTTTAAATAGTGAATCCAACTACTTTAAAGGAATAGTTTGGTGAAAAATCAAATGTACCCACTTTCCTCTTATCCCAGATGTAGTCCATACATCAAGACGTGTTTGGAGACCAAGTTTTGCTTCCTTAGTTTAGAACTGCTTACAAAGCTAATGTTGCTAACAAGCACTAGAAATCAGTAGTCACCCAAATAGCTCAAATCGGTTGGATAAAAATGCAGCACCAAAACATCTTTCAACCCGCATCTAGGTTTTCATGAACCCATGCGTTCAACTAATCATCCAACATCAGTTCCTGACCTCACTAATGCTCTTATGACTGAATGCAATCAAATCCTCACAGTAGTGTTCCAACATCTAGTGTAAAGCAAGTGTTCATGCTTTTACTTCGGGGGACAAACTTTCTAATAATATCCCTGGTTTCAGATGTAATGTTGAATGAACAGGTGTCTACAGTCTTTTAGATACATAGTGTACCATCACATACACTTTGTGCTGTCTATGTTAATATAGAAACATGATTATTTCTCATAGAAAGACCAATATAGCACCACATTTACCTCATATATAAGGTAGTTCGTCCTAAATCATACCTCATATTCACAATGGAAAATCTCACACAGAAGCCAAGGTGGGTCAAAACCATTTGAACTGGATCCACAGTCAGATGTGGATTGACTTTGAGCATTAGCTAAATGTTGTTAAGCTTTGTTGCCTACCTGTTTTGAATTTTTTGTAGCTTTCAAGGCACTGCTGTGGCCTAGACCATAGCTCAGTCCAGTTTTAGCTAATGTCTAGGCCAGTGATGCTCAAACCAGTGATCAGGAACCCTTAGACAATCCACATTTTGCCCTTTCCCTAAGCGTTGCAATTTGGGTTGGAGCAAAGAACTGCCTGAGGGTCCTTGAGCCCCTGTTTGCGAACCACTCATCTAGACCATGTCCAGCTCTTTATTAATTCAGTATCCTTTTGTATAGTAAGTAAGCTTTCAGCAGTCACAAATATACATTAATGGCTAATTCTTACCTGCGCTTGAGCTGACGATAACCTCAGAGTACATGTCAGAGAACGGCTGATGAGGCTTAACAGGGTCCATAGCTGGTCCTCTCTGAGCCACAGTGGGGTTTCAAACCCGGCTATGGACAATACAAGCTTACCTGAGTCTTTTACACTCATTAAATGACCACCCTCAGTGACATCATTCAGCGTTCACACCCCTCATCACCTGGCCTCCTGTTGGAATGATTGACACCAAGTATAATGATATTCCGACCTTATAACTTTTCCTGATATTGGAGTTTCAGAAATGTTCCTTTAGATATCTATAAAGTAAATGAACTTTGTTTTGGTGGGTTTAATCCTTTAAAATCCCAGGCTTATGACATACTAAGGCTCATTATTCAGTAACTACATGGACTACAATGCAAACTGGCTGAGTTATTCGTAGTAATAGAAGTGTGCAGCAAAACTTTGGACGAGTGAACAAAAATAGTCAACTGGCTAATTTTGTGTATATTGGATTTTTTGGCTTCTTTATTCATTCCCATGGATAAGAAATCAAGAACTGTTTAGTCGGATCATGTAATGTTATCGCAGGGGAGAATGCATGCGTGTGAAATGTGCAGAACTATTAATGGGGAATTCTGTTGATGTTCAAAACTGAGATGTAAACAAAGTCATTCAGAGTGTTTTGATGTGAAATACTTCATTGTAGAGAAACTCACAGACTCCGATTTCTTTACAGTGGTGGTGATAGGAACCAGGAGTCGCCATGACTACAACACAAATATGGCCATTTTTTTTAATATCCAAAACCACCAGTGAACCTACACGTGTCTTCTGAGTGTTGATAATGTTGATAATGGTGAAATAGTGGTAGATCTGAAAGAATATGTTTTCTTTTGGGACTGTTTTGCACTGTGTGCCCCTCTCCACCATGAACAGATGAAGGAAAAAAACTTTTTGGGGTAAAATTTTAAAAGTATCACAAACCCAATTTCAACATCAACAGGCAGCATATTCAAAACCATTTCATGTCATTTCTGTGAGCTATTAGAGACATTAAACTCTTCAGATTTCACAACCAAGGTGAACAGTTCTGCTCTCCAGAAGGGAGCATTTCACATCAAACCACTCTGAACGACTTTGTTTACATCTTACTCATTTAATTATGCAGAAATTCTGAAAAATCAGTGGAATTCATCATTAACTTCCATGTAGTACTCTTTATAATTAAGGCTCAGATTGAATTTATGGATGTTCTGAGAAGTATGTGTCCTCTCACAAATCTCATTCAAATCTCATTCCTAAGGTAGAAAATCTAATTTCAGATATTTATCCCCACTCTGCCTGTTATGTTGCCTTTCCCGGTGTCCCTCACTGTGAAACAATTCTGTGTTTCCAAAAAAAGGTGGAGCAACCTTCATTAATAGTCTCCTAGCTGAATGTAGGACTGCAGTGAACTATAGCACTTTAAGCTCTTTTTACTGTCTAATTGTGTGACCACAGTGGCCAGAGACCAAACTAGATATGGAAGAGTGAGGGGGTTGGTAGAATGGAATGGCGCTCTGCACGGCTTAACTGTGAGTGACACAGCCAGAGCGTCATCTGAGCCAGGGCCAGAGGCTTAGAGCGAAGCAGAGAGGCTACCGTCAGCCAAGCTAGCCATGACTTATCTGCCTGTTTAACTATTTAAAGGAATAGTTTGGCCAAAAATCAAGTTTACACAATGTCCCCCTATCCTAAATGCAGCTGATCAGCTAAGATGTTTGGTGTGTGAAGTACCTGTTTCTGCAGGTAAAAGGCAGGTGCCCACTGCTTGCCAGCCTTCTGGACTAGTCTGACCACCATGGAGCTTCCTGCTGAGCAACATTGTACAAACCTCACCTGCAAACCACTGACCCTCCTAATGGAACTGCGGCATTTTTTTAATCATAGACGTTGCTTCTCCTGCTGTTCCCCTTTTTCCATGTGATATACTAATGATCGAATCTCATTGTTTGCTATCTGGTGTCGGCCAGAGGAGGATGGGTTCCCCTTTTGAGTCTTGGTTCCTCTCGAGGTTTCTTCCTCTTGCTCTTAGGGTGTTTTTCCTTGCCACTGTCACCATTGGCGACGCTTATGGGGGGCTGGGATCCTGATTTTTCTGTAAAGCTGCTTTGTGACAACACCTGTTATAAAAAGCGCTATACAAATAAACGTTGACTTGACTTGATTTGATTTGACCAATGTAGCTAACGAAGAGTACAGACAGTATGCAGCTTCAGGATGGCTGCTATGCCTGTTTCTATCTATGCAATGTATTTCCTAATGCAATGTGTCAAAAACCACATAAGGAAGTCTATTTGAGAATAAAACAAAAGGAGGATAAGATCAAAAAGAAACTAAAATGAATTAAAATGACTGGATTAATAATAAAATAATCATAATTAAAAGAAGAATAAGAATATGAATAATAATAAGTAAACAAATAAATAAATGGGGGAAATTTAGTTGTTGAGGCTTCTGTGTAATATTGTATTAAATATGTTTTCTGCTTATTTTAAAACTGAAAAATGAATAACTGGTACTTTGTACTGGAAAATAAATAAAGGAAGGTGGTCTCTGACTTTTACACAGTACTGTAAGTGTTCATTACTTCTGAGTTGCATCAGCTAAAAAAATAAAGAAGTAACCCTCAGGCGTCAATCACGTCTTGGCTGATTGAGGGACCCTTATGCAGATCTAAACTCAGATTCACACTCTTCCTTTAACTGAGTTCTATTCATTTTCACTAAACCAACCACTGTAACATGAAGTTATACTCGCTGTATAATACATGCAAGATTAATTGTAATATTTATGGACACTTGGATTATATACTCTGATTGTCACTTGTAAAAAGATACACTTTGTTTAGCTATCATGTCGATAACCCCAGAACAATTTCCCGGAATGTGTTTCTTGTTGCTCAGAGATGGCTTCACTTGAGTAATGAGAGAATGGAGGGAGGAAGAGAGCGATGGACCAAGATTCCAATCACTTAGACTTGTGTTTCATAAATGGCTCTACAGTATAAACATGGTTTTCAGTAGTGGATGAATTGGCTGTGGCCTTTAAATAGTTGAAGCTGACAGAAATGAAGCGTCCAGAGAGAAGACTGTCCCTGCACTGCTGAAAGAGGATGAGCGTGTCTCTGGGCCAGCTGATTCTCCTATTCTCAGCACTGGAGAGGGGAATCGTGGGGACTGGCTGAACTCTGTGGACCCCCAGAACGCTGCGGCCAGGCTGCCCAAAGAATTCTGGGAATTTCCAATAGTCTGAGGAATTCTGACTCAGACCCAAACAGCACTGGGTGGAGGTTCTGCCTGCGAGAGCCAAAACTTAACCACAACATCTACACACACACACACACACACACACACACATATACACACACACACACACATACACACATGCATGCATGAAACCAGTCAAACATACATGCTACACTGCTGTGAGATCAGTGTACATTTACACACACAGCACTTTCCTGACATCACTACACATTCAGCACAGATGAAGACTCTCACTGAGCTACAGAACTACACAACGCAAAGAGAAAGAAGAGAGTAAGTTAGAAGAGAGATAGTGAGAAAGTGAGACAGTGAGACAGAGTGAGATGAAAGAGTGAAAGAGTGAAAGAGACAGAGAGAGAGAGGAAGAGAGAAAGAGAGTGGGGGAATGAGAAGGAAAGAGAGAGAGAGAGAGTGGCATGAGAGAGAGGAAATGAGAGGGGGGAGTGAGAAAGAGAGGAGAGAGAGGCAGAAAAGAGAGAAAAAGAGATATAGAGGCAGGGAGAACGAGAGAGAGTCAGAAACGGAAACAAACAGAAATGAATGAGAAAGACACGACACAGAGAGGAAAGAACAAGCAAAAGAGAGAGATGGAAAGAAAAATGAGGACAGAGAAAGAGAACGGGGGACAGAAGAACAGAGAGAGAGAGAGAGAGAGAGAGAGAGAGAGAGAGAGAGAGAGAGAGAGAGAGAGAATCTCCTCAGAAGTGAACTGGGAGTGACCTGGCTGGCAGCCTCTCAGCCCTGATGGAAGGAATGTAACCCAACTCCCCTCTGGCCTGTACTGCACAGTGACCTGTGCCTGTGTGTGTGTGTGTGTGTGTGCGCGCTTGAAGGAGGTCACTGATACACAGATAGAGACAGTTTTCTAGAATTCCTTCCTTTATGGAGGTTCATCTCTCTGCAGACAGTTGCACATGAATATAATGTTACATCAACTGCAATGATGGTGTAAAACAATCAAATTCTTTTTTGCTATTAAAATAAACTATATTTTGCTATATTTTGATATTGTATTTGTCACTTATCTGGAAAAATAAGCAATGCAGAAGCAGGGAAAATGGGTCATGGACTTGGGACCTGAGACCTGAGGTGTGTATTTAAGGGTTGAATGAGAGAGTGAATGTAAATTGACGTGATGTCTTGCACTTGCGCTGCGTGGGGGGCTGTAAGTGTGTCTGTATGTATGCAGGACACAGGTGGCTCAGGGGTCCTGCAGGAAAGAGGACACCACCACCGTCTGGACAGCACAAGCATCCAGACAACAGCTCGGCAAATCCACCCAGCCAAGCCCACCTGCTGACACACACACACACACACACACATTTGTTTTTATGCAATGTCAGGACGTCATGTCATGTCACATGTGCAGTGTCTCACGTTTATTATGTATGTCGTCACTGTGACCAAAAAAACCTATATCTCCAAAATAGCAAATTTACAGCAGACAGAAAAAAACATTCTTAACTTTGAATGCAAGTAAATGGAAAATATATTTTTAATTTTTTTTCCCAAATCATGTTGGAGCATTTTAGTTGCTCCCATTCATAGGAAATTACAACCCATTGGTATAAATGGCCCCTGGTCTTTGAAATTCTGTAAAAAGTAGAAAACGACAAAATAGGTTAAGATATTCTCTCAGGAAATGAACTTTAATATGACTGTTTTCTGCAAATTTAGCGTGAAATTTATATTCATTTGCTGAGTCTCACATATAAAATGTACCACAACTTTTGCAAAGGCCACATTTTATGTGTTTCCATGTTTAAATTCAGCAAATAAT